TCGGCCCCTTCCCCCAAACATCGACAGAATGCATGTCACTCGAGGCTCGAAGCAGGTATTTCCAAACCAAGTACGGGTACTCCGTACCAGTAGGCGATACTGGCCCTCACGAGTCACCTCAGCTTGCCCTGTTCCATCAGGTAAGGGGCTGTGTGCTGTGGATGTCGACTTTGGCCCAAAGATCTCACTGATACCCGCAATGATTGTGACCAAATCTCCAACTTGTACCAGTCAACGTTTGCCTCCTGCCGGCCCTGACTCCGTACGAAGTATCCGTAGAGCCCTTCAGCAACTTTCCTCGCCTCTTTACGAAAACTTCCCTCTTTTCAACCTACCCCTCCTCTCCGCTTCTTCTCATCCCTCACACACTACCTACTGTCCGCCGCTTGGAATAACCCTAATGAACCAGCTTGAGCTTCAGCGTCAACACCTCATCCGTACCCATTCACCCACCAGTCTATTTCGCCGACCACAGAAACGACCGTAGACATCAGCTGCTCCTCAAAATTCGACTACTCCGCCACGGAATATCCCTGGAGCCTGGACCTGGTATCAGGGGCTTTCCGTCCCAAGCTCAAGGTACTTCCTAATCGAGGCATGCTGTCCCTCATCTTCTCCAATGCCTGCCGGCGCAGTCATCACCGGCATCATTTCATGGTCTGGTTCTGCACTGACGAACCCACGAATAGCACCAAACAGTATCATGGACCGTCGTTTCTCTCCTTTTCTCCAGCTTCGACGCCACTCCTTGACAGTCTGCCCTTCACTACTGACAGAGTACAGACGACCACCAATAATCCATCCTTCTCCATCACCCTGAGCGCACTGTGGGAGACTTCGGCCGCCATCCGACCGATGTTTGTCCAAGGGTCCCGATGTACCCTCACCGTACCTGCGCATCCGATCCACGGCCGGACAGACACTATGCTTGCCTTGCCTCATCTTGGCTCGCCTGGCAATGCCGTCCTTATCGTCTTGCCGCTTCCACGCTCAGCCTGTCCTTAACGCTCTCGAACCTAGTGGCCTTCCATCTCCATTCGTCCCTCCTTTCTCTTACACCCCCAGACAGAATCGACCGGTGGCAACACCATCCGTACAACTTCGCCATGAACGTCTCTGGGTCTAGCAGGTAAGGCGGGAGTGGGCAATTCGAGTATGGGTTGGCCTCGCACGCCTTACGCCTCTTATCAGCTCCCCCTTCGGCCTTACCTCGCCCGTCTCCCATTCAATGACGCCCGTCTTGGAACCGTACCGCCCTCCGATTCGCACGGGGCATGGGCCACAAGCAATGCACACACCTCGAGTCCCTGTCGTCTGGCATCCCACACCCCCGCCTCATCCCAGCTTCCTCCCTACCAAGTTACATTAGCCACTTGCTTGGCCGGTTAGCTTCCTAGCGCTTCTGACCAGCAGCTCGCAACGGAGCGCGTTTCTGTCCCAACTGCCTTCACGCCGCATATTGTCGACGCGGTCGCAGCGCAACCTCGAGCTGCTTTCATGATGACTGCTACATCACGGAATCTCGAGCTACTGCGGGCTGGAGAAAGAGGAGAGGGACAAGGAGTTCATAACCGTTATGTCGTTGAGGGGGTGGTCAGCCGCCGCGCACACTCTCTCGGTCGACCACAGCCAGTCTGGCACGTTTGCGTTCCAACCCCTTGAGCGTCAACCTGTCCCATGGATTCCATCCTTACCCTCTGGTAGGGTCTCCTGGTAAGTTTTGTTCTTTACCGTTTTATTTCCCGCCTTGGGAGTGGAGGTGCTGAGAAAAAGGCGACCAGAGAGACGGGCAAGTGAGTGCCTCGGAGAAAGATACTAGTCTACTCCGTAGAGAACCCAGAAACCTCCGTCCAATGGGTTCATGGGGCCCATGAGCCTGGCTGTGGGCGTCGACAACGTGGGGCCGCTTGCGCCATCTCCGACTCCCCGACCGCCGGCCGCTGCCCCCAAGTCAAACAAAAGCCGACTAGTAACAGGAAGAAGAAAAAAAACATCAGACGAGACAAGGCTAAACGTCCGTTTAGCCTTACTGTCCGTCCGTCGATTCCGTCCTGTTTGTGTGTACCCTTCGGCTTCGTCTCGAGCCAGTCCGTCTGCTCCTCGCACGAGTCTTGACGTCTGTCAGCTGCATTGGCAGTGCAGGGGACCACGCGCTGCCCTTACCGTTCAACCTCTTAGTATGCCAGTGGGCCAAATTTCACATTGGCGAGGCTCAACTACAGCCTACGAGCTTCCGAGCTACGATTAGGTACGGATACATTACACGGCAGCTAATAATGAACGTCCATGGTCTTGCTTTCCCTTAGGCTTTTCGTTCGCTAGTTCAAGCTTGCAACGTCAGGTTCTATCCGGGTTGGGGGCGGTTCTCGAAGCATCACGCGAGTGCAGGGGGATCCCTCCGTGGGCAAGAAATTGCGACATTTCCGCCTTGCCCGCCGGTCTACGCAGCCACCAGCCCAGCCTACGCAACAGCTCCTAGAAGACAATCCTGACTGGTCTTCGCCTCGAATCTCATCTCGCTCTGTCTCTTGACAACGCGGGTGTTTCCCGTCATAGATGCACCTAGAAGGCACTTGGAGCCAAACCCACGTCTGTATGATTACACGCCTACGCCACACGGACCAGCTTGCTAGGCTCCACGTGGGCCATGGAGTCCGTGGTACGATGCTGGGGGGCAGTCCCGGCAGAAACAAGCATGTGCCGAGTCACCGTTACAACCTGCAGATAGCTGCTGCGGGTGACGGCGAAAGGGGTGGATCACAACCACAGCAGCTGAGAGCAAACCCACCTTTAAAGCAGCGATAGACATGCAGCGTCGACCGTCACACGGCGATGGGGTTGGCCTTACCTCTAGGCCTCAGGCCTGGCAAGCGGTCTCTCGATCGAAGCACAACGACTGGACGGACGGTTCTCTGAGAACCCTTCCCATGCCTCTTTCCCCACCTTTTCCTGCCGTCCTCTTGGACGAAGTCAAAAGTCACTTTACCGGAGAATGTACGGAGAAGATATTGGACAAGTCGTCCTCTGTATTCGTACATATCGTCTCGGACACGAGACCGACTTGACCACATCCTTCTTTTGCACCAGAAGCCCCGGCTTACAGTCGTGCGCGTCGGGTCATCATCTAACACGGTTAAGACAACTTACTTAACGAGCCGAAAACTCTCCTTGGACAATACAAAGCGATATGTTGCCAAGTTGGCCGTTGCACACAGGATGGGGAGAGTTCAGCCCAAGTGGGAGGGCCCGCAAGACATCGACTAGACCCTGTTCACGTCGAAGGGCACGTAGAGTTCGACAATACTCAAATGTTCGCGGCATGAACTGCAATAACACCATGGGTAGACCATGATGCCCTGGTACGTGCTCATGGCTCGTCCGCCATGGCACATGAGCCGTGTCTTGCCATGAAGTCAAAAGTTTCTCAAGGTAGGGATGTGGCTGCATTTTGAGTTGTGGTTGATGAAAGCAGGAGATGAGGAGCACGCTACCCATCTACCCATCACTGTCCGTACCACACCTGGCAACTTTGGCATCCTCCTGGCGGCCGGTCGAGTTAGTATCCAGAGGTTGCTATTTGGCATTTCCGGAACGTTGGTTGGTCGAACGTTTTCTACCATACGGCACACTTTGTATCGACATGAATAACCCCCCGATGACTCTCGGGCCATCTGCTGGCTCTGGTTCGGTCCAGTGGGGGAGTTCATCCTCCTTGCAAGCCAATTCGTCCTGGCCCCCGCGGCTAGTGTCCTAATCCCTGGATCCGGTACCGAATAAGACATCATCGTACAGGACGGCAAATTAGTCAAATAAGCCTCGTGAATAGACAGCAACGTGCCAGATACCAAGGAGATGGCCGAGGTGTCTCATCAAGAATCTGGCAATCTGTCAGGGTCGTCTTGGGCGCAGACACGCTCTCGTAACCCTCTAGTAATTCAGACGTTCCGCCAGATTTGATTTTTGAATAGGCACATCGGCGAAGCCTTCACCCGTTGTTTCGATCTGCTAGTTCCACGCGCGTCAGAAGCAGCACGGTTGGCCCAGCGGCTCCAGCCTCCGAAACGAAACCTCTGCAAAAGTGCAATGGGATGGGATGGAAAACAGCGGAATTACTGCCCCGTCACCAGGCTTCCTAGTCTTTTAGGTTTCTCGTCAATCTCGACTACCCGCGTGTCTCATTCCGAGAGAGACACGAGCGAGGCATCCGGCTGCCTCCCGAGTCCCCTTTGACCTCCATGGTCGACTCGACAGATCTCGATTGAATGGCGTGTACCCGCAAGTCGTACGTGTTGCTGTTAGTACTGTGCTGCTTGCCGACGTTATTATTATACCCAGGCAAGCAGTCTTATGACTATACACTGCTGCTGGTTTTGAGCCTCTTTTATACTCAGCCCTAGGCAAATTACCTTTTGTTTTCGCTGATTGTGTGTCTAGTTCAGGCAAGGTACGGACGGCGTGAAGGGACACTAGTTTATTCGGCAGTGTGTGAGGTTGCCAGGTCCTCTTCTCCCCCGTCCCCAAATACCAGCATTCGTCTCCTCCACGATCGATAAGCTTGGTCTTTGTGTCGGCAACGACGCACTGATGGCATTATGGAGTGCACAGAGATCGATCCCCTCCAAGTGTCCGCGCGCCAGAGATGTGGTCAGTGCTGAGGCTGAAAACAATCTAGGAGAGAAGGACGGGAGGGTGTGTGCAATAGTGCTTGCCTGTCCAAGCTCTGCACTTTCTGAAGGAAACAATGAGATCGGAACCTGGAAGGGGAGGGGTGTGGGTGTCCCAGTTCTCGGGCAGGGTACTCCGTACAAATACAGACTGACAAGAGTACGAAGCAATACGGGTAGGTACGAAAGAAGGGTGAGGTGGGCAGAATTTCCTCAATTTTAACATGTGCTTGCAGCTCGCAGATATCACACACACATACGACGCTGCGGGCCACACATTGTTGCTTTCTTTTTTGTACTGCGTATTTTGCAATATTGACTCTATTGCAGCCGTTTTTACCCACTTGCTTGACTCGCGGCAGGCAAATGGGACAGACAGTGGATTAGGTACGGAGTACGGGTAGACCACCGTAGGTGGCTAGGTGCGTAGCTAGAGGCTACCTTGGAGCTCACGCCCAGCGCGGCTGTGGCCCACAACACGCCCAATTCAATCCGCCTGGCCGGTAATTGAGACGGTTTGAATTTGGGGGCCAAACGGGGGGCGGGGGAAGGAACTGCTCGGCCGGAAAAGGACCGTCGGGTATCTTGGCCCAGTTCGGGGGGTGGTTGTTGATACCTTGCTGCCAAACATGTTTCTCGAACTTCAGTCTTAATCGGGTCCAACTTTGGGTTGGAGACTTGGAGTATCTCTGTCTTGGAGTCGTTCTTGGAGGCTTTCTTGGAGTCGCCTAGCGCAGGCGACTGAAAGTTTGATCTCCTTGGCAGCACCGTAGGATTGTTTTGATCCAAAAACACTACTTGGGTACGTTTATGTGTGTAGTAAGCCAGGTATCTCGCTTCAATTAGCCCGATTCCCATTTCCCTTTGCAACATTGTTTCTGTTTGTGTTGGTCAAGAAAGCCAGTTTTCTCTCCTAGGTCTCGTTCTTTACGTGGTATTTGACGGTAGGATTACATAAAAAGAAACCCCCCATCTAATCCTTCCCCTAAACGCCCCGGAGCTCTGTCCCGGCCTTCGTCGAGCTCATGTTGAATGACGCCGGCCCGTGTCGATATTATGCTTCGCTTGCTTCAATCCATTTCTGTTTCGCAGTTGAGTTTGACGTACAGAAACCCTTCCTTGCCAAATCTCCCTGGAAAGTTTGTTTTCTCCTCTTTCTACTTGTTTCTCTCAGGAGTGTAGTCTTCAGATCTCCATAGCATGGCAAGTGAACCCGATCGTATCAATTTCCTCACTTCACTCCAGTTGTTCCCAACGTCTCTCGCGCAGGGGCTTCTCTTTGCCGGCTGCAGCCCGGCTGCCCTCTTTCTCTTCCTTCCATGCCCAATACTCGGCGAGGCGGGTTTCCGCATACGAGGCGTAATCAAAGTCGATCTCCGAGATGACGGCTTGAATCAAAGCCCAGATGCCCCAGTAGAATCCTGGCACTCCACGGAAGAGGTCCACCTCGTGTGTGAGCTTTCTGACCTCCGCCTCGATATCAACATTTGTGTTGCTCTCGGAATATTTGTAGAATGAGCGGATGTACTCCTCGATAAATTCTCGACGCTGGGACTGAGTGGGCATGAAGTTGTAGTCGCAGTCGAATCCACCCCACTCGGCCAAGTGGTTGGCAATATCGAAAGCGGCTGGCGACGGCGTGGCATACTCGTAGTCGATGAATGTCACTGTGGCTTCCTTCTTGGGGCCCTTGGCAGGTTGGGCACTCGGTAACACGATCACGTTTCCGCTCAACAAATCGCAGTGGGCAAAAACTAGCTGTTACGAAAGAACCGTTAGCGGTCGTAGCGGATTGGGGCGGCTCTGTATGACTTACACCATCAACACCTAGCCCAGGGCGCTGGCTGAACTCCTCCACAATGTATTCAAACTCCTTCTGAAGCTTGTCTTGTCTCTCCCTCTGGACTTGTGTGTCGCTGGGTAGCGCCAATATCCATTTTTGCATTACTGACCATACGTTCGGCACAGGCTTTCCAGGTGCAGCGTTCTCGATGATGGCGTTCAGGTCCTGATCGTGACCCTTGGCGTTGCCGTTGTTCGAGGTCTGGTGTGTAATGCAGGGCACAGTCGCATGCCACTGGGCTAACCTGCTGGCGACAGCTCGATAGATGTGTGGCTTCCTCAGGTCCTCCGGGGCTGTGACGCTGCCCTTGATGAAGCGGTAGAGCATGCCATTCTGGAACCGGGCGAGCAGCTCGGGGGCAAGGCCATGCTTCATGAGAAGTTCATGGTTCTGGGCTTCGCGCTCGCGATCGATGAGGACGGCGGTTCCATTTCCAAATGCGCGCAACAAGATGGCCTCCCTGTCTATATCCTCCTTGGACCAGCCCTTGCGCTTGTTGATGGCCTTGAGTAGGGTATTGGTAATGCCGTCGGTGAAGCGAACGAATTCGATGTTGGAGTCGTCGGAAGCCCAGTCTGGTCGAACGGTCAGGATTAGACTAGTCGCAGATTGCTGGGAATCTTCGCTGTCGTAAAAAAGGGGAAGTGTTCGAACATGAGGCAGCGCCGACCCGTTAGGGTGGCCGTTGCTTGCACCTTGGGTCATATTTGACCGAAGGGATGACCGAAGGGGACTGTGTGGGCGAAGGATATAAGGGGAATGTCGAAAGGGCAAAGACAATACCGAAGAGGTCAATCGCTGGATGAGGATGCCCCTGTGGAATTCGGCGGTTTATTCAGTCGTTGGTGTTGTGTAACTATGGCACTCTGGATAATCGTGGAAAGGGGCTCAAGGCGGTCCGCAAGACGTCAAGGGGAAGGGATGATAGCGAGGCTATTCTGTAAAAGTTGCAGAACGTGATGGTACCAGGGCGGGATACGGGCGATATGTTGATGGTTCAGGTGTGTAGGAAGAAAGAAAAGCAAAAGGGAGGTTAGGGGGGGTGGGTATCGCCGGATTGATATTGGGAAAAAGATTGAGGGAGTCGGGGGCAATGGACTGGGGATTGGCGCCGTCGAGATAATGGTGGCCGAGCACGAGACCTTTTTCCTTCCTCGTGCGGATCCCTCAAGGTGTGAGAGAAAAAGCCAGTATCGTTAGGGAGTAGTGGCAGTGGCTCTCGGAAGTGATGTGGTGCGTTTGGTAGTTTAGAGTGAGATTCGCGTTGGAAATTACGGTATGTGCGTGTGGCTAATCTTCTTTTGTCGTCGGTCAACGAATCGAGGTGGAAAATCAGAAGGAAGAAGGGAGGAGACTGGAGACACTGAACAGAGACACATACTCCGTAGATAGAGCGAGAGAGAGCATGTGAAGAAGGTGCAGGCAGGCCGCAGGGCATAGCAACTTTCCACTTTCCACTTTCCACTTTCCACTTTCCACCTTCAGGGACCTTATGGATACCACTCTTGATGAACAAGCCAATTACCTCGTGCTTTCCTCAACTTACGACCGCCACATCTGTGGGCCTGCTTTCCCTTCCCTTTCCTTCAGGGCCCCCCAATACCATCAAATACTCGTACGGATACCTACCTCACAAGGAAAAGGGCTTTTGATGGAGCATATTTCAATGTTCATGTTCAGGGTCTCTGAGAGCGGGGGGCAGTGGGAACCCGTTATGATTGGGGGGCCGGGGAGGTGCCGCGGGCGCTTTTTCCCAACAACGCCTCCGCTAGCAAGGACAGAAGCTCAACCTGGAATGCCTTTCTTTGCCCTTGTTTGTTGGCTGTGTCTCTGTTTCTGTGTAGGACGCGCGGCACGAGCGTCACGGCATGGGCAAGACGTACCGAGGAGAGGGGACCAAGGCACGCTCCCGTCCACCACTTTGGAGGCTTAGAGTCTGGGCACGAGGAAATGGATGGGGGTCCGAAACCACAACGACTTGAGGCGCCCTTACCGTCATTGTTGCCTCCCTCCCTTTCCCCAAGTTCTACACAGCAAGGTAGGTAAGTAGGTAGATACCCGTACCTTAGGTAGGTATTCCCCTCCCCCTCCCCCTCCACACCTCGAGCTAGGTATGGGATGGGTGGATGGCCAGTATCCGTACTAAACCACAACCATTGGCTTCTTTCAAGAATCCTTAGCAGTGTCATCTAAGGGTCTTGCTGCTGCTCGGTAATGCAGTGTGACAGCCACAACGGCTTGACGAACCTGAATTGGATCGTAGCACCTGCTGGGCCGTCTCAATAGCTTCCCCTCATCCAGCCCATCCAATAGTTGTTTCCGATTCCCAGCGGCCATGCCAGAATTTCGTCATCGTTGGAGCTGAGAGCACCACCTTCTCTGAGGCTTCTCCTCGTCCCTTTCCCCAGACATGATCAGCGCGGAAACCCGCATCGAATCGCCCACTTCTACAATGCAACTTTGAATGACGGTCCTGCCTTTGTTGGTGACCCGGGACCGGGAACCATATCGCCATGCAATTAGGTATATTCGTTTCGCAACCGACCGTAGCAGAGGCCCATTCCCTTGATGCACCTCTATCTTTGTTCAAGCCACAGGCTGAGGGCTGCATAGCCTAGGAGAGGGCTCACCGACTATGTGTCTCGCGTCTCCTGCAGTCTAATCAAGTCCAGCCCGGCCTCTAGATCACGAACTGCAGTCGGATGCCATGTCTCATCTTTGCTTCAAATCGGCTACTTAAGACGCATCCCTAAACGGGCAACACTTCTAGCTTAACATTACTTACTCTGATCACCAAGTGAAGGTACCGGTATGCGATAGCGATGGTATCAAGCTCGCATTCTCGCAGTACAAGAAGCCCCTTTGGATGGTCGCTGGATTGACGGGGCTGGCCGGGTGTTCACTCTTGTCTTTCGCCTAAACCTTGAGAGCCTCAACCCCACCTTGAAGTGCCGCCTACTGCACAGTAAGTTGACGGGTCCAGACCGGCGGTGCTCGGACCACCTTACGCTGGACCTTCGTGGCTGCTGGGCCGTTTGCACGAATACGTACCGTGGACATCCATTGGCCATACTCCGTACTCATCGACTTCCCACGATCCAGCCACCATCCTCATCCAACCTCGGACTTACCACATCAGATCGGATCGAACCCGCGACCTCCCTCATCCCATCTACGGCCCAGTCCAGCCACAACAAATAGCCGCATGTACCACTCTCATCCTGCCGGTCTGAGTCCCATGGAATGTGGACTGCCAGTTCCTCTGGCGCATTAATCCACACCCAGGTTTTGCCGATTCTCCTTGGAGACACAGCCGCCACGGCAAGGACTACTGGGCGATGATCGCCGGGCACGGCACGGTTTACATCTTGGAGCCCTTGACCGCCCTGTTCTAATCTTTCACAACCGTCGTTGGATTTCTTATCGCTCCCGAGATGGCGCCGCCCGTGCTCCCGAATCCGTTCAACTTCTTGGCAGTAGCGCTGGTTATCAACAGGTCTCGTGATGGTCCCAACTTCGTCTTCCATTATCCGCCCCATGTCTTGCCGCCCAACGCGCAGTCCAAAAGTCACGAGCCAGCTGATGGCTCGGCCGAGTACGACGATATCTTACTGGAGCGTCTCAATGCGCCCGGCTCAGCATCCCTTGACTCCGATGCCAACGCGGACGAGCTCCAACAATGGACTGCTGGGGATGACCACTTGATCACCGAAGATGGAACCCAAATCGTTCCATGGGAGCATGTGGCTGGTTTCCCTACCAAAGATCTCGCTAGCATTCTGACCCCAGGGAGAGCCTATCACAAGAAGCTCTTCCAACTCTCTCTGGATCCTTTATTCTGTGTTTCTTATCCCATCCACGTTCCCGAGAGTGGAACATGGAAGAAGAAGAAGAAAAGCAAGAAGGCCAAGTCAGAGAGGTCCAAGTCTGTGCGGACGGAGGAGTCGGCGGTATTTGTCGACATCGACCCAAACGAGGACACTGAAGATGCCCCCAACGGCGCTGATGCGTCGCAAAATGATTCCAAGGAAGAAGAACAGCCCCAACAAGACGAGCCTGATGACAAGCGCGCATCCATGACTATGTTCAACTTAGTGTTCTTTCTGAATCCGAAGAAACATGAAGCCAAAGAACTCATCGAGACACTCTATCTCAACATCATTAAGAAGATCAACAAGGCATTTAAGTACTGCCAACAGCGAAGCGAATTTGTGTGGAAAGAGTCGAAGCGTATTTCAGCCCTAAAGGACAAGGGACGGGAAGATAGTAAGCTAGTACCGAACACTATGGGATGTAAGTTGCTGATATTAGACCAGGGCGCAAAATGAGTTTGCTATGGGACGAGATTCTATCAACATCGTCTCTCGCAGCTTCTGTCCAGGACATTTACGAAGCCGTCTCTCAGAACAAAATTGCGGCCCTTCAGCTTGACACGGTGCTGGGCCCAGTCACTCCATCTGTACAGATTCCCGTGCCATTCTACGTCACGGACTTGCACAACTATGGACAGACAGAACAGAGGGGTCTCTGGCTGACGACTGCTAACTCCTTCATCGGCGAAGACACCCTAGATGAGCCCGGTTTCTTGGACCGCAACTTTGCTCTCTTGCTGATGGGTGATGAGAAGAAGATCATCGCCGAACTGCAGGCAGACTTGGATCCAAGTACTGTAGCCATGGTCGAGTTCGCCCGACTGTCAAAGCCTACACAATCGTAAGTTGAGAGAGTCCTTTCAAAGACCATCATGTACTCTTGCTAATACCCATTCAGTTTCTACCAAGTGGGCCAGAGCAACGTCTTGACGTTGAGCCAGGTGCGCAAGTACGCGCAACACTTCATATTCTGGCGGCGTGCTATAGCAATTCCACCTCTCCATGCCCGCGACACATACATCATGTCACCAAACTGCGACACCCGCAACCTCCCCAGGGCAAGCCTCGAGTGGCAAAAGACGTTCCCCCTCGCACCACCTCTCACCAACTTCCTCGCTGAGCTATCGTACGCGCCGAGGTCATATAAACACTACTGCCCGAGTAAGGCTCATCGGCCCACGTACCTCGCTATGCTCGCGTGGCTCATGCGCGGTGCATGGGTGACTCAGTTGTGCACATTCGCCTACGTTGTTGTCTGGCCCGAGATCATTTACGAAGTCGAGCACAAGCTTGAAAGCGACGAATTGCGCACAGCCGGGGATACCTCTTCCCTCAGCACCAGCAACCCTCTGAGTAGCTCAGCACTCGACGCGGCAGACGGGAAGTCTGAGGCAGGGAGCAGCAGTGGTGGTAGCGGGAGTGGCGGTACCGGCAGCGGCATGGCAGCGTACATCCCGTCGCACATTGAGCAGACGGCAGAAAAGGCACGCCTAGAACGCATCGCAGAGAAGACGCAGCGCGAGGCAGCTGAAAAAGCCACGGCGCACGCGCGCAAACTACCGCCCATGGCGACGGATCATCCGTCGACTAACGAGGCCCCGCACCTGGCGCGGATGCCCCCCTACATCATCGTGGACGCCAAGAAGGCGACGGGCAAGGAGTCGCTCTACCTCGCGGCCATCGGCAAGCGATTCAAGGATCCCAAGGTAGCCAAGGCGTGGCAGGCCATGTGGAAGTACTTTAACGGGCAGACGGCTCTAGAGAGGATCGCATTGCAGGAAGACATGAAACGTAAGGAGGCATGGAACCTGCTAACGGCGATGAGCGAGCATTTGCTGTGTGTGAGGCACTGGTAGGCATTTGCTCACTTGCGTGCCATGGCATGTCAGGCCGGGCTTTTCAAAGGGATACAAACTTCACGAGATGCGGCGGCAAATTAAGAGTCCCATGCATGGGGAGCGAGACGAGAATGGAGGCACTGTAGTTGTGTGATGATTCATAGGAACATACGGCTGGAAAGAAAGGGAGGGTATCATTGTATGTATGCGGGGAAAACATGAGGCAGCAGCAGATAGAAGCTACTTTCCCCTTGAATATGCCAAACGCAAAAGGACGCGCGGGAAGATGAAAAAACAAGTCACGCCACTGAGGGTCAGGTAAATACAACCAAAAGAAAAATACCGAGTTGATCCCAAAAACAGATGTGTTGAAACCTGAGAGACCGCGTGTAAGCATTGAGAGAAGAGATTGTAGAAATAATTCCAGGACAGCGAGAAGAGAAGACCATGGTTGGGAAAAGATTTGCCTGAAAGATATCGAACCCGCGAACCTTCCCCATGCCCGCCTGCCCTGTAAATTAGAGAGAAACTAAAAAGGAAAAGGATCAACAAGACCTTGTGCAATGCCCATCCGAACCCAGAGGTATCATGTCTCCCAGTAAGAATGATGCTTGATAAACCCAGAAAACAGAAACGAAAATCAAAACCAAAAAAACCCGAGCCGACTCAACCAAACACATCCCATTCCTCCCCACGTTGTGCTTCACTGACTGTTGGCAAGCCTCCGGCCACCCGTGTAATCGAAAATACCTGTCAACGCCGTCGCCCACCGAAATCCTTGACCGCCCCCCAACGCGCTTGGATGCAACAAAGAGACCATGACCGCGCGAATGCTGAAAACAGAGCAAGAACTTGAAATAAGAAGATGAGCGCAGTAGGATCAGAATAGAGACGGCAGGGATATCGCCATGGATTCCAACAGTCCGTCCTACTGTGTCAGGTCCATGCCGAACTCGTCTTCCTCCTTGAAGTTCAGCGAAGTTGGACCACTGTCATCATCATCCGGATCATTCCAAAATTCGCTGCCGGCGTTGAGGTCATTGGCGAGGCCGGTGCCGTTGGTAGCGCCAGGGCTAACAGAGGTACCGTCAGCATTACCTGAGCCATTCATGGGCTCGCCGCGGAAGTCGGTGTGATGAGGTACGCGAAGACCAGATCCGGTCGTGCGGGAGTACCCTGGAACCTCGTTCTTGGAGATGGCTTCCATCAGCTCGGTTTGCATGCGCTTCTCATCCTCTGTGAGCTCAAACGGGAAATGGCCGCCGAGTTCCGCAATGGCGTTCATCAGCTCCTCCTGCTGCTGCAGCTTCAGGTGCAGCATCCACATCAGATCTCTCGTCCAACTGACTGCGCCGTTCAGAATGTCTCCCTTGTTGGGACCCTTGTCCTTGTCCTCGAGGGGGAGGCCAGTCGTAATATTGCCTGTTGCGCCAGCTGCGCGACGTGCGCCCGGACCGGCAAGGCCCGAGGTAGCCTGCGATGGGTTCGAAATGCCGGACAATGTAGGCGAGAGCGGGGTACCGTTCTGTATCATTTTGCGGATCTTCTCATCCTCCAAGCGATGTGCGGGCACTAGTCTGCTGAGATCTTGAATTCTCTCATTGATGTTGTCTCGGCGGCGTCGCTCGACGAGGTTGTGAGACTCCCGACGCCGCTTCCGCTTCATCTCTTGAGAGGAGACCGCACCTCCGGGTTGAGCCCCTAGCTTTGCAGGCATCGATGTGCCACCCTTCATCATGACCTCGTTGAGTTGAGCGAGACCGGGTTGAATAGGCGACGAGAAGCCAGAGCCATAGGACGCTGCCATACTTCCTGTTGGGGTCTGCATCCACTGACCTCCGGATGGTGATTTCTCATGCATGCCTTGGGCCCGGATGGACTGAGAACCGAAGCCAGTTGACTCCTGGGTCGCCATCGGTACCGAGTGCATCGCTGACTTGGGAGTCATGGGGCTGCGAGTGTTGGAAGATGAGCTCTTCCGTTGCATAGCTTGTGCCATTCTGGCTCGGTTCTTAGCGTTGAGGTAGTTGGTTTCGGCGGCATCACCAGTCAGGTCGGACCCAGCCAAGGGCGAGCCCGAGTAGGAGATGGGAGACTGAAGTGAAGTGCCGAGCGCCTGGCGATGGTGCATCTGGCCGAATCCCGAGTTATTGAAGCTATGCACAAAGGGGCTTTGGATGGGGTCACCGTCGGGGGTGTTGGAGTAGCCGTTGATGTGGTTTTGATCTAGGCCGTGGTGGGAGCCGTAGATAGGTTGGTTGAAGCCCATATCCATGTTTGACATTCCGCCGCCAAAATCCTGGCCATGGCCATGTAACGGCTGTTCGGTCGGGCTTCCGAGGCCATCGAGCAGCTCATCGTCTCCAAAGAGGGCGGAGCCGCTCGAGAACCCATTTGTGTTTCCTGAGTTGGAGTTGTAGTTGTTGGAATAGGATGATCCATAGTTTGCGCCCATGGCCAAGTCGTTAGGATCGATGCTTCCGCCGCCACCTCCACCGTGGCCACCGTTGAACTGGCCGAAGCCGTGTTGTGCCATTGTAGGTACTGTTGACACGGCGTTGATTTAATTTGCGTGTGATATACGCTGGATCGGCGATTATACGAGGTCTCGCTGACCTGTAGTGCTCACACCGCCTCTTTCGTCAAGAAGTGCAGTGACAGGCTGCTCTGTTATACTGGAAAGATGCGAGAAGTTTGTCCTGGAGAGGTTATAGCTGTAGCGAGTCGACGTGTCAGCGGTGCGACCGAATACGATAGCAAAGTTGCGCGAATCAAAGATGCTCCGAGGTTCGCTGCGATCAGTTTTTGCTTTCCTGTCGGACAGACACGAACTGGCGGTTGGACATGCGGATATTCTCCACACAGGCGCAGGCAGTTCCGAACGCCACCCAGGCAAAATAGGCAAGGAGAGTGAGTGGCAGAGCAGTGTGGGTGCGGGAAGGAAGGCGCGACCAAGGCAGGACTGACTCACCGAGCAAAAGGGAAAAATGCCGGGAATATGTAATGTTGGTCGACAGCACACAAAACCGTTGTTACACGGCCATTCACTGCAGTGCTGTGGAAGGTGCGGGGATGGCGTCCTAAGTAAGGAAAGCCGGCGTCGAAGATGGTAGCGAGGCGAGAAGCGGTTAAGAGGGGGCGTGTGTGTGTGTGTGTGTGCGAAAGACTGAGAGTGCCAGAGTGTGGGAGTAAGCGAGGCAAGGTTTGCGATCTGGGTCGCCTGTCGCACAAGTGTATAAAGATGTGTAGAAAGTCGCTGCCTGTTGAGTCGCGGAAGCAGTGGAAAGCGACAGAGGACCAAGTGGCTACTAGGTCTTGGAGGGAGGGAGGGAGGTGATGAAGAAGAAGAAGAAGAAGAGGAAGAGAGTTGAGTCTTGTCAAGTTGCGATGGAAATGCGGTGTCGGGGAGCCGGGGGTTTGTAGTGTGGTGCGCAGCAGTGCGATGCGGGTGCGGGTGAGCGAAAGTAGGTATGAGTAAGAAGTTGGTGTAGGAGCCTCGGGGCTAGGCGCTACGGCTGCGCTGGACTGGGCTGGGGAACAAATTAGTTTAGGACTGTGTTGAAGGAGAAGGACGTGTGTAGTGTCAAGTATTCGTTAAAGTGCACGATTAATACATGGGGTGCTAAGAAAAGCCCATGCGGGAGACCGATGCCAGACGCCGAGGGCGAGGGCGGGGGAAAGAGGCGAGGGGTACCCAAGTACCTTGTACTTAAGGTACCTTAAGGTGAGTACGGAGTAAGGTAAGGTAGGTTTGGGGGGGGGAAGGAAGAATCGAGGACGGGGGACAGGGGCTGGGGAGGGTCCTCCTTCGGGTTCACCTTACCTCTACGAAGCTGTGGGGGAGCAAAAAGGTAAAGCTCGTGTCGGTGAGTTAGGTAGGTTGGTGACGGAGGGTGTAGCGTCTCTTGCGTTTGTTCAAGAAATAAAATGGGGATGCGTCCGCTGCAAGGGAGGTTAGCACACTCTGCTGGAATGGAATGCGGATACTTTTTGCGGCGTGAAGCACGCCTCAAGGCTTGGGTGATCCAGGCCCAGAGACAGGGGGTCATGAAGGGGTTCACAGCAGGGTTTGCCAGGATGGGACAAGACAACTTGTGGTTCAGGACCTCGAGGTGTGCTTGTGCTATCGAGCATGGCAAGTCTGTAGTCCGGTCCGTGGGCCGAGGGGCAAAAAAAAAAAAAAAAAAAAGGGAATAAGACCAACGCGAAGGAGAACGGACGATGTGAAGTGATGGGACACGGATGCTGACTTACAGAAGAATATGGGTGGTGGGTAATATTCATCCAGTCTCCCAACTTTACACGGTAACGGTAGATGCTGTTCCTTTCGAGAGATGACGAAAACAACGCTTTGGCTCGGCTTTTCGCCTGACGCTTGACGTTGCACAAGGAGGAAATAGAGGTGAGGGTGAGGACGAAGGTGCTGGTGGAAAGCAGCTCTTGTCGACAGGAAGAGAAGGGAGGGGTCCAATGCCAGGAAAAGGTGGTGTGCTGATTCCTTGGTATTGCTACCGTACTTGGCGCTGATGCTTGCTGTGAAGTGCCCGCTAGTACGCAGTATAGGCGGGCTGGCGGACTGAAGTACTTGGTGGTGACACTCGAGTGCGTGAGAATGTGCGACGGATGAAATGGGTTGCTGCCGGTTCGGACGGGTCGGAGACAGGCGGGTATCTTTGCTGCGATGGTTGTCGGACCCTTGGTACAGTGACAGTTGACTGCGTGACTGCTATACTTGAAAATGGCCGAGGAATGCAATATGCTTGGGGCGGATGTAGCGTCGAGTATGGTATGCGCAGATACCAAGGTGCAATGAGCAAAACAGTCGAAGTTGACTTTTTGTCTTTGGACCAGTCAGAAATGGGATCCGTGACACGAGAGTAAGAGGAACAAGGGAGGGGAGAGCAAGTAAATGGATGCGATGCAAGGAGAGGGAATGGAAGAGGGCGGGTATGTCATGTATAATAAATGTGTGGCGGAAGAAGCGGCTGTGAGGCTGAGTCGTGGAATACAACTCAACGAGGGGGGAAGGCTAGGTAACTCATGAGGAAGCGAAAAGGATTGGAGGGGTGCGCAAAGTAGTGTACCAACCTTGCTGAGGAGGAGAAGGAAGTGACGACAGTATGTCTTTCTCTATAGATCTTCAACGCAGCAACGACGGGCGGTCAGTTGAATAATGTCTGATGTGAAAGTGAAGTGGCGTTCACTCACATAGTTCCCGGGAAAGCGGTGCGGTTGACGTGCAGCAGTTTCTGGGGTCCTGTATTGTTGGTTGGGGGCGGTTTTTGGAGCGTTTGTTCCAGGTAGGACCAAAGAATTCCTCCGTGGGGAATGCGGCCTGTGTGCGGGTACACCGTACAGGCTCACGGGTGCGACTGGAGAGTTGGAGAAGCTTGACGGGGAGCGAGAGAAACGGCTCAGTGGAGGGCCAAGATCGTGGTCGGAAGCCGGCTCGGAGTGGTAGTGTGCGATGATCCCTGTCGATCGCTAGATGTGCGTCTTTTCTCACGGTGCTAGGGCGTAGATGAGGTTGGTATTCGTAGTAGGGTATATCAGGGTAGTGTTGTAGACGCAGATGAAGTGATTTCTTGCATGGAAAAGCAGGGAATAAGACAATGTCTCGAGCAAAATGAAATAGGCAGGTAGAAAGCGTTCGTTGCCTTCTTTCCAGCTTAGTTGTTGAGGTAGGTACAGTCCAGAGTACTTGCCTCGAAATAGGACCTAGGCAAGTGGGCTGGTTGGTTGGTTGCTGTCGCTCCAAGTATCGCCGTTATTTCCTAAGAACGAGGGCAATGCAGGCAAAATTAGGTTTCCGCCTGCCAATGTCTAGAGCAAAGCTCCCGGTCGGTTCAAAAGGGGGTCGGCGAGACGGACTCAACGTGCTGCTTTGAAGACCAGAGTGAGAGCTCCCCGAAATGTCGACGCCGATGCGCAGGGGTTTCGGACCCGGCGGCTTGGGATTTCTTGGATAACTCGCGCAAACGTATCCGTATATGCGATCACTAAGCAGTGACCAACTTTATACCTGAATGTTCCAACTTTCCAGAGAACCCGGGCGGTGATGTCCGGCTGTGTGCAAGGTAAAGGTGGTAGGTATCGTCTACTTGTTGGTATCTTGGTCTTATTCCAGCGTCTAGCTCGGTGGTGATGATATGCGATTGCAAGCCTGTATTCGTACGAATAAGCGCGTTCCTCTTGTGTCTTGTATCGATGGTCTGTGCGTCGGTGAGTCGAGGTAAAGGTAAGGAACTTTGGGGCCTCTGATGCATTGGATCCGGATCTCGGCTGGTTGTTTCTGTCCTCCCTTGTCAACTCTGGTTTCCCTCTGGCCCTCTGGGGTCCTGTCTGTTCTGTTTCGTTTGCCAACTCCAGAACGGGGCATCTCCACCTACCTCCTCTTGATTTGTGTTTCCCGCGTAACTCGAGAGTCGAGAATCGGTCTGTTGTGTTGTTTGAGGTTTGTTTGCTCAATCGTTTTCTCTCCTCTCCTCTTTCTTTCTCTCCGGTACAGAAGGGAACCGCGCTAGGATTTATATCAAGGCCGCCTTCTATTAACAGACACTATGTCATCTGGATGAGGCTTGTCACTTCACCTGCATCTCCTGACTCGTCCCATATTCCGGGGGTGGCACCCCCATTGTATCCTCACCGGGACGTTTTGGCAGCCTCTTGGTCCGAGTCGGGATGAGATGGAGGGCAGCCGGACCCCGTGATGCCTCCAAGTCAGACAGCTAAGACAACTTACCCACCTACTGGACCCGCGCCGGTCGCGACGACTCACGACGCTCATCGGGACCTGCTTAAGGATCGGCAAGAAAAAGGTGGTCATGCACTTGAAATGTCTGGTTTTCCCTCAAAAGAAGACATCACGAACTCATGTAAACTGGGCTCTCCATGGCTCCTAGACTGCCCGGCCAGGAACCCGAGGCCAGTAAGGCCCCAGAATGCCCTTGGATCAGATATGGGATTCTGTCTCATTCGCATCGGCTTGTTTAGAAACCAGTTTTCTCAACCCCTCGCAGAACACCTTACCCATGGCGGCCACGGCCTATGGCCGGCTCGACTGCTAGTTGGACGACATGGCTCTAGAGGCCTACGCAACCGCCGCCAGCAAAAACATGCTTAATAGGTGAAGCCCTGTCGATGCCCAAGATGTCGGCTTGTTGGCGTCAGGCATGGAAGGGAGAGAGCCCTTATCCGCGAATTTGAGATATCCAGCCAGGTTGATGCAAGACCTATGTGTGCCGGAGGCTTGTCAACTTGCAAGATCTGGAACGCGTGCAAACATCTTCACCGCCTCGAACCTTTGCCTTATCGCCTTCTACCTTGACTATGACTCGCTTAATAGAAAGACAAAGAGCCTGACCGCCGTCTTGTCGCATACATTGATATCTTGGGTATATCCCGTTTGGGGTAGCACACACACACACTCACTCACTGTCTGGCAAGCACCTCAGACAATCAAGAGGCCGCCGCTGTGATGTCGAGCACTCTCGAGCCTTGTCCCCTGTGGCGTATACATACTGTGTGTAACGTGGGCTCTTGATCCTAGATACTTGCGGGATTGTTCAATACTTAAAGAGCATCGTGATTTGATGGGCGGTGCCGGCGGCAGTGACAAATATCTCAAACATTGTCTCTGAACATTTTACTCCCCTTCAGACCATCATCACCACCATTGCGGCATAACAGGACGGAAATCTGGTGGGAAACCCACCTCTGGCCAAGATGTGATCGTCGGCTCCGCAGCGAGTGCCGGCGGCAATCCTACCCCAACTGGCCTTTACCTGCTCGATGCGGTCTTGACTTTCCTCCTCCTGCACGGCTACCATCAGCAAGTCTCAGAGTTGCAGCCGCACTGTATCAACGACATAGATGATGGTGAACCTGTCAGAATCGCAGTCCTCGCAGACAGACGTAGAGGTTGCAAAGTGCCTCTGGGAGGTCGGGTCGAGTGTGGAGTGGGAGAAGGCTTCCAATCATGTGCTTCCGATTAAGGATAAGAATGACCTTATGGACCCACCCAGAGACTCTGAGGAAATAGAACTGGACTCGAAAGGTGCTGGACCAGAATTCGATAATGCTGGTGGCTGTGTTGGTTGGCTGAACTTCTGAAGCCCGGATTTCGGGGGATCATGGGTACGTACTCGCAGCCGACGGGTGGTCTGTGTGTCCGGGGAAGGATGCAGCCATTGATTGGCCGAGTTCAACCGCACCTGGTGCACCTGCGCTGCTTCGCTCTGAGACATTCTCAAGCTCACCCTGCCTTGTCTCCATCCTCTCTGCCTCTCTCTCGACCTCCGTTCCGTTCCATCACCTCCCCACCCCCTTCATCAAGCTATCAACCTCGTGTACCAGCCGCCTTAGCCCCCCCCCCTCCATCTGAAGGCCGTTCGCCGTTTGCCTCTTGCCTTCGCCCTCGTCTTCGCGTCTGCCTCTGAAACTTACGTTATAGCTACGCGGTGCGGTACGCGCGGACACTAGGCCACCACCAAGATATCAAGACCAGCCTACGTCGCATCACAAACCGAACAGGTGGTCTCCGAATAGCCCACCCTCCTGTGCACATTTAATCGTATGCGCTTTCCGACCCTCCCCTCCATCATGGACCATGACCCTGTATATCAACCAAGCTGACCATCTTGGCTGTGGAGAAGCAGCTCGACACCCGTCTTCCTGACGCTCATCTGCCGCGCTATACCAGTCATCTACTCCCGTGCTCTCCCAGTACCCTCGACGGAGGCCACCCCGGAGTCGCCCTCCACCCAATCACAGTCCCTCCGCAAACCGACTCCGAGCGAACTGCCCCCGATACTGTCAAGGACTACTTGTCACTTGACCATATACTACTCGACACACAAAGAGGACGCTCCCGCTCTTGCGTGCATCTTTGCTGTTTACCCGGTTTGCGAGGGAGCACCGACACCTGCGTGTAGCACGTCATAGTTGCATCTTTCGGCTCCCATATTCCACCGATACGATGGCGTCCGCTTCTTTCAGAGATTCGATGAATTCCCTGGGCTGGTCGCGACGGGATGAGGATGTGCCCGTCAATACGGCGCAACAGTCCGGCCTCATGTCTTCGATCAAGTCCCTCAACCCCTTTGGCAATAACAGCTATATACAGCTCCCGACAACCGAGGGCGCCGGCGCGCCCCTGCCTGCTGCCAACAGGAGGGAAGAGGAAGAGGGCTTTGCAACGCGTGAGTCATTTGGTCTTTGTGCTTTTGCCCTCCCGTCACCTCTGGCAGCTTCATCCTAGAGCTCTCAACGCCCCTGCAGCTGGCATAGCCTCTAGTTGTGGTTTGCCATGTCTCGGATTGCCATGTGAGCAGGCGGGCTTACGAAGTGGTGTTGTCGTGTCCGCTTCATCTTCTCCGGAACAGCCATGCTAACGTAGTATATTCCACTTTAGTGAGTCGCTGGGACCGTTTACTCATTTTTGGTGCTTGTAACCTGGGCGCCCTCGCCTGCTTCGTCATCTGCTTCGCCTTGTTCCCGGTTGTAGCTGTGCGGCCGCGCAAGTTTGTGATTCTGTGAGTTTCCATGGTTTCATTCCTCTACCCTCTACCCTCTGTGCCTTGTCACTAGCGGGTTTGCTCTCTTCCGTCGAGGATCACCCCACGGGTGCTTATCAACCCGGCTAGTTGCCGGCGCGGCAGATCGACAAAGATATCTGTGGATCGGCACCTATTGTGCCGTGCCCGAATGTAGCCTTGCCCCTCTGTATCTACCCGCCTTTCATGCCAGATGATCTTGCATAGCGAGCTAGTTATGAACACCTTATCCGGTGACCGAACGGCGTGATGAGGACCATCGAGGAGTTTAGCGTTGATACGACGGTCGCCATCTTCAACTTGCGTACCTTTTGCTAACGCTATCGTTTCTCAGATGGACACTTGGCTCTCTCCTGTTCCTGGCGTCCTTCGCGGCCGTCATGGGCCCGATGGCGTACGTGAAACACCTCGTCTCCGGCCAGCGTTTACCCTTCACTGCTGCCTACTTTGGATCGCTCGGGCTTTCCATGTACTTCTCTCTCGGCGTAAGTTCCATGACGTTCCTATTGCTAGGCGGAAGCAAACCGGCTGACTCCGACACAGCTGCACAGCACCATTTTGACCTTGATCTCGGCCATCATCCAACTAGCTTGCCTGGTTTGGTACTTGGTCAGCTACTTCCCTATGGGTTCGAGTGGACTGCGCCTGGCCACCACATTCGGTGCCAGAAGGGCTGCTGCCTGGATGACGGGTTGAGCTTGAAGCTCTCGTGTTGTACACATGTACCTTGTAAGATGAAGACGGAAAATGATTATGGATGATTGTTTCACGGCAGCTACCCGGCATTGTTCTTCAGGTTTGTACACATAGTGGGACATACAGTGGGCAAAGGGATGTCCGAAACAGGCAGATATCGAAATGTAGTTCACGTAAATGTACTAGGCAGCTGGGGCATTCGGCTGCAGACCTGGCTGCTCAAAATCGCCACTGATAAGAGAGGCCACGACTCTGAATTTGATCGGTTCCTCGACCGGGTGTGATGTTCTACGTTTCGGTCACAATCACTTTGTTTATTCGTCTTCGGTATGGGTCTCGTCCGCAGCCTTGCCTCTGCTTGTCTGGCCATCTCGCTGTATCGTAAGCGGACCAACCGGTCCAAGAGCAATTTGAACCACTCTTGAGGAATTCAGGCATCGTTTCGCACGGATGGTTTCCAAATCGCGGCAATCTGTGACTTGAAAGGTCGGGTTTTTCTCATCGACTTGTCCCTTCGTCTTTCACCCAAAGGTCTTCTTCTCTACCAGGTATTCCAAGTTGTGAAATCCTCTCGATCAGTCGCAGGTCAAAGAGTGGCGCGGTTTCTTCGCCTGGCTTCAACGGATCTCGAATCCTGCTCTTGCTTTTTCTGCCGGAAGCTAGCATGAACGAAGGTCATCGAGTGACTACTCCCCCATGCATAAGGTCTATATTCTATTCTGGCTCAAGTAGAGCATTTCATCTCTACGGAGACCTCTCGATGAAGGAATTTCTCATTTGCTGGCTATGTCTACTCACCTAGTAAAGTAGCTGTGTTGGAAGGTCCTGAGGTGTAGGAGTGAACTTTACGCGTATACTTGAAAGGCGAAGAACTACCCCTAGGTAGGGGGAAGAAATCTCGCAAAAACGTCGAAACGCTGGAAGACACAATATAGACTCTTCGTTGAATGTATAGCATACTACTGGTCAATGTCCAGAAATTCAGGCGTCGTAGGCTTGGATGCCGGCCTTCTGTTTTGAGGATTTTCACTCGGTTTTGCTTCTTCAACAAGGGTCTCTAAACAGCCCGGTCCCACAATGATCGACCGTTTAGCCTCTACCGAGAACCCTGAGAAGAGGAAATGTAATGTTTCTCTCTCTCTCTCTCTCTCTCTCTCTCTCTCTCTCTCTCTCTCTCTCTCTCTCTCTCTCTCTCTCTCTCTCTCTCTGGTATCCCGTTCACCTTTCGAGCGACAATCTCGGTGTTCTGGGGTAACCTGCCTCAGAACCTCCCAAAATCCGCATTTGGTCCCATTGCAAGGCTGAGAGACAGGGTATTTAGGTGCCGAAAGGTAGAAACCTCACGGGGGATGGGAAAGTTGCCGAAGAAGTGTCCACTTCGGACGGTGGATCCCGGCACGGCCAGGAAGGCTCGGAAGGCGAGTCAGTCCACTTCATTCGAGAGCAAACGATAAATGCCCCAAGGGCACCGGTGGAGAAGCACTGATTGTGAGATGGGATCCTGGGAAGCTTCGCCAAAGAGGGAAGGGGGAACAACAGATTGTTGGCCGAAATTGCCGTGTTCAGGCGTTTGTGCGCAAACCCTCTTAGATGAGCTTTTTCGATGTTACTTGGCTTCGACTGTTCCCAGCCCCTGTCTCTATCATCCTCGAATAGGAAAAAGAGACTTACCTTTGTTAACGCGAGACCCCCTCGGGATTCCCTACGGAAAAGTTCTACGAACGGGCTCCTTCGGCAAGACGTCGGGTAAAATTATCCGGGTTTCTGCATTGAAATGAGCCTTTTACGCCATGGGAGCGGTGGCTGAAGGTCGAGACAGTGTAAGCAAACTTCAAAGAGGTCTGGCAAGTGTGGCTGGCCCCGTATCGTTTTTTGACTGTCTGCGCAGGGCTTGCTAAGCCTTTTCGGCCCTAGGCAGGCGAAGACATGATGCATTGGATTACAAGAATGTGTTGTATCGGGGTGAACCACGAACGCGCATCTTTGTATCAAAGAAGTGGAATGGCCGGCCGGGCTATTGTTCGTAAAGAAAAAAAATTCAGATACCATGAGAAAGAAGACATAGAAAAGAATTGGGACCAGGGTCGGGAATTGCCCACCGCGTAGGCGACCCGGACATGGAAAACCGTTGTCTTTGATGTTGCCCATGTCGTTCTCAGGGTATTGAGGATGACTAAGGCAGCTAAGGCAACAAACGTGAGAGAGGTGGTCATTCAGACTAAACTGGTTGAGGGTTCGATAGTGTACACCGTGGCATATGCCTTGCGCACTCTTTGAGTACACCCAACGGCCCGGAAGTCGTTCCGAAAACAAAGCTTTCGAAGAAGGACGGCCAAAGGTTGATGATCAAGGAGACGCCCTGTGGCGGTGTGTGTGTGTGTGTGTGTGTGTGTGTGTGTGTGTGTGTGTGTGGCACAGTGATGCGACGTATTCGTACTTGTAGGCTGCAGTAGACGCTCGTGGGACGAGGGCTTCAAACTAGGTAAAATGTCAGACAGACAGAGGGCGTGTATCCGTGGTTATGTAATCCAGGTCCTGGAAGTTCGGACAAGAAGAAACATAGCCGCGCTTACCGTTATCCTCTTCAGTTCTGTGCCATGGGTATTCAGAGGATTGGATGCAACGCAGACTGCAGAGGAAAGGCGGTCCAACCGGCACTCTTTGCAAAAGAGAGGAGAATTGTGCGTGGGCCGTGGATATGCAAATGGAGAGAGGAATCCAGCAATCCAGCGGGCTTCTCAGTCTTCATTTTCTCCGCGTCAAGGTACGTACCAAAGTAGCCAATGGCGCCTGTCATTCAGAAGGGAGCTGGAAAGTGCATGGTATTACTGCGTGACTGCCTCGACGCACCTGCCTTACTTTGAACATACTAACTGGAATTCGCGAAGAGTCCCTTTTAGGTAAGTTGCAACTTCTTCGAGGTTGTCGATGTATAATGCAAAACGAGAAATCGGCTCCCTCAGAGGGCCCAGATACTTTACCTAAGTCTGACTTGCAGCAAGCAGAAGCGAAACCATCCATCTGCCCGCTCGAGCGGATGGTGCGGTGCATTTCGGCGCAGGGCGGTGCGTCTGTACATGGGCAACAGCACTCCATGACATGATGACATACCTTACGACACCACAGTCATTACGGGCGACTAAGGCTTTAGCTGAAGGGTCATCACACAAAAAGGCACATGATAAAAATGAGAGAAAATGCCTTGGCCTGGTAAACAACCGACTTATATTCGCGCAACCCCACCAAAGCCGACAAGGAACCGGAGGGGGATGGATGGGATGGGCACGCATGCAGAAGGTCGCAGCCGTCAGCAGGAAGAAGAAGCAGCGGGCAGACCATTCCGGGGTTAGATACGGATAGGGAGATGGTAGGCAATAAAGGGAAAAAAAAAGATGGCCACAAAAAAAAAAGGCAGAGAGATCCCAGGATTCGGTTTGATGCAAAGCGAGGTGGTGACTATGCAAAGACTAATACCTACAGGCTGCCCGTGCTACCATAGTGGAGGCCATTGACCAGAAGAGGAGAAGGAGAGAGAGGGGTAATCAGTATAGGTTTTTCTTCCTTTCGTTTGAGTAAGTACTGTTTCCCTGACTTCTGTTTTTCTTACACAATTCAACCTTTTCTGACTTACACCGAGGTGATGATCCAATGAAGGGCTGCCTTCACCACCAATACTTTGTGTTATATTGGTCAGTCCTGCTTCCTGCTTGTCACGCTTCTGCCCTGCTGCTGGTAATACTGGTAAGGTACCTTTTTAATGGCAAGTGCCTTGCTTGTCTACCCTGCCCTGTCGGGTCGGAGCGATGGGCAATTTCTGCCGTTGCCGGCCACTTTAAGCCTACCCATGTCGTCGGAAGCCTTCAGTATCCGTGTTTCCTAACTGGTCCAGGCCACATGAGGTACCACCGGGCCCAGGTGTATTATGCCCCCTCCAGCGGCCTCATGGCCTCAGGTAGGAAATATTTCGGCCACCGCCCGCCCCGTCAAAGACAAGAACTGGAGTCGCTGGGCGCCCATCCCACGCCAGTCGGTGGTGACCCCTCCATCCTCGGCCTCCTGCGCGCTCTCCTACTTCCAGGTCGGCTTGCACCCGTCCCGTCCTTTCACTCGCTCACAGCGCATCGCCTGAGACATAGACCTATTGGATGCCCTGGATGAATGAGACTTTCAATTACCTACCTTACCACCTACCTATTTACTACACATTACTTCAAGGTACGCTAGGTGTCTTATAAAGCCTGATGAATGATTGGGGTGTGTCTCTTCTATTAGATGAGGTGGTGCATGCTTCACCGACAATGTCCTGCATCTCTGCCCTGCCTGACATCAGTGTGTAAGCCTGTAAGGTAAATGCCCTGAGATGAATCACCAAGGTACATGGAAGCCGGCGGATGAAGCACCGCCCGCATCTCAGTCCATTGTCAGTGCCTTGGGGGTCCCTTCCCTCAACCATGAACCCCAAACCTCCTCCCAGTCAATCACCAAAGAATTCCAATCGCCCACTGTACTCCGTCCCGGCGTCCCTTTCCCCCCCCCTCCCCGCTAAAAAGTCTGGTCAACAAGCTGCCTCCACCTTTTACCTCAAGTGCCAACCTGGTAGTGGCTTTCCCGAGAAAGAAAAAAATTCATTCACAAAAAAAAAAACTCGGGCCTCAGATTTTATTCCTGGGTCCTTTTTCTCCTCCTCTCCCACAACCACACATATCCTCTCTTCCTCTCTCTATCCCTCTCCTCCACAAACCTTGCCCTACCGGTATCCTTGTGGTCATTCTTCCTCTGTTCACTCGTCCTGTTCGGCCGACACTTCTCTGTTCGCCAATTTTCCAATAGCGGACATTTCCTACACGACCGGCGAGACCCCTCAGGCCAACAATCAAGCCCTCCTCCAATCGAAGCCTTGCGTTTACCGTCCTCCACGTTTTCTTTGGATCACCGCAGCCCGAGCATCTCCGGAGCGTCTCGCCTCGCTTGTCCCTACGCAACCCAAAAAAAAAACACTTCGTTGACGTGACCTCAACCCACCTTCCCCTCTTCGTTTACGAGGAACACAGCTTCCACCGCACCTCAGATCATCTCGCTCGCGCACCCGATTCGACTGATTCGTCAGTCCTCGCGTGCCTTCGTCCTAAGCTAGTTACCGCACTCGCCCGAAATTTCTAGCCACCTTCCGGCTTCACTGGACCAGCAGCACCTGCTCGTCCCGACATCCTTGCGTTTGCCTCAATCTTCTACGACTTCTAACGACGTCAACCGGCACCTGATCCCTTCCACGGCACCTCAGGCCGCCGACCGACTCATTCTTCCGGACCACGCGGAGAGGTTTGGTTCGCCCTCTCCGGTCTGTCTCCGTCTCAGGAGTTGTCGGTAAACCTCGGTTTACCCAACAGCAGGATACACAACAGCCCGTTCGCGGCTACTACAGGGCCTGGCAGGATTGGATCTGTTGATCATCTTCCCTAGTCCCTTTATACCCCAATAGTCTTTCAAGGCATGCCTATTTCTGCATCAGACCTAGCATCAGACACGATGGCTACTGCATTTTCTTACGCTCAAGCCGCCAAGGGTCAGGCGGCCACAACACCCCCGACCCAGACCACCGAGAACGGCAAGGACTCTGCGAGCTCAGTAAACGGCGAACAACCGGGTGTCGAGCCCAACGCTGTCAAGAGCACCGACTCCGCTGACGACGAGTCCTCGAGAAATATCCCTCTCAAGGCTCAACTGGCTGCCAAGCAGGACGTTTCCTCTGCCCAAGCAGAAGCCAACAGCACAAACACACCATCTGCCGCTGCTTCCGTCACCGACTCTCGACGCGATGACGAGGAGGTCGTTACCGAAGCCTCTGCCCGCCGAAGTGAGAAGAGCGTGAGGTCGGCAAGCGCATCCACTCGCGTGACCGACGAGGCCGAGCCGAAGAAGGGCTCTAGGAAGCCGAGAAAAGGCAAGGCCGGGAAGGAATCGAGCGACGATGCCAAGAAGGAGAAGGCAGCAGAGCAGGAGAAGGAGGAGCCTAAGATCGAGCTCGTCGAGGCGCCGCTCCCTTCGGTCAACATTTGGACCCAGCGCAAGGAGACACAGGCTCACAAGACCTCTGTCACCTTGCCCACCGCAAATGGTGCTGCCAGTGCGTCCGCCCCAGTTGACACCTGGCCCAACAGCCAGGAGTCCAAGAAGAACAAGAAGGCCATTGAGGGTGCTGAAGCCACCAACGGTGCTCCTGCTGCCACCAAGTCTCAGCGCAAGGCTGGCGATGGTGATTCCGCCGCCAGAAGAAATGGTGCCCGTGGCTCAAGGGTTATCGAGAGAGATAGCCGTCTTACCGAGGTCCCTCCCCCTGTTGGCGATGTCCACTCATGGCCTACGCCTGAGACAGCGGTCAAGGAGATTGTCAAGGAGGAGAAGCGCAAGCCTTCCGAGAAGGTTGAGCGGGTAGAGGCCGAGGTCCAGGACGATGCTGGCGCCAAGGGACGTTCAAAGGACAAGTGGGAGCGTATGGACTTTGTCCCTACTGTCCAGTTCTCCACCCCCATGCCCTCAGTTAGAGGCTCTCGAGGAGGACGAGGTGCTGCTCGTGGTGGACGCGACGTTACTTCTCGTGGCGGTCACGGTGCTGCTGCTGCTGCTGCCTCTGCTGACAAGCCGGCCGGCACTGCTGCCCCTACCAAGGCAGGAAACGAAGCCCGTGACCGTGCTCGCGACGGCAACGCTCCGGCCAGAGCCAACTCTCAACCCCCCGTTGCAAACAAGCGGGGCTCAATGGAAGTCTCGAACGGCAAGGAGCGCAAGCCCACGGCGCCCAACTCCGGCGAGCGCAACAAGGAGTCGCAGTCAAATGCAACCAATGTAAGTTTCTTCTTGCCTCGGTTGTCGTGCGATATCGTCCTCAACATATATGCTGACTCATAAAGCAGGAGCAGGCCGGTCCTGTTAGAGAGAGAGGAGAAGGCCGCGGTGATAGGGGCCGGGGCGGATACAGAGGCCGCGGAGGCCACCCTGGAAACGTGCCCATGCACGCTCAGCAGTCTTCTTACATGTCTAACGGCAACTCCTTCGGCTCCCAAGGCCCCAGACAATACGCCAGCCCTCCCCTTCACCAGGGTGGCAGCTTCCAGCCTTCTTACGGCGGCTCGCAGTCCCGCGGTGGTCGCGGCGGTCGCGGCCAGTCGAACGGTTCCGGAGCGTTCCGCGGTGCTGGTGGCCCTTCCAACTCTGGCCGTATGCGTCAAGTTCAGACCAACATGAATCAGGTTACTTGGGATTATGGAGTCCCCATGACCCCGGGCTCGTACGCGGCTTTCTACGAGCAAACTAGACACATCATGATCCCTCAGATGGAGTACTACTTCTCCGTTGAGAACCTCCTGAAGGATACCTACTTGCGTAAGAACATGGACAGCCAGGGATTCGTGCCTTTGGAGCTTGTTCTCGGCTTCCAAAGGGTTCGTTCGGTGGCTGATGCCCAGACCCTGCGCGCAATCATTGCCGAGTGCCCCCAGCTGGATTACGTTGTTGGCGACGATGGCATTGAGAGATTGAGATCTCGTACCCACTGGCAGAAGTTCGTCTACCCTAACATGGAGCTGCGCTTCGATGCTGCTCGCAACGAGGGTCCCCAGTACTTCTACCCCCGTTCCCTCCACGCCATCGCTCATTACGACCACGGCATGCTCGGCGACTACCCTGTCATCTCGCCGACTGCTGCCTACCCCAACGGTGCCGAGAACAGCTACGTCCCCTACCCTACCGAGGCTCAGAACGGACAGCCGAACGGCACTATGAACGGCAACGCTGCCGAGACACAGCTTTCTGCTCAAGTCCCTGAGTTCCAGCCCGGCCCTGCATCCGAGCAAACGGCTGAGGCCTCGTCAGAGACCGAGAAGGCTCAGCCCCTCGTCAATGGCTCTGCCCACACGGAGAGCGCTCCCTTGACAAACGGAAACCACGCCCAGCCTGCTGAAGCCCTCCAGTCCTAGTTGGACGAAGGCATTGTCGTGGGCTGTGGCAGCGAGGCGGCAGCATCAGGATGCGGTGACGACAGCAGCAACTTGTCGAGTCCTTCTCAACACGCGCACCTGCTGATGCGTGTCCGAGGCGAGAAGTCGGTTGCCGAGTCGTACATCGACGACGTCCCGTACCCTGAATTTCGTCTGCGCGCGCTCTCCCAACGGCAAGACACTTTGGCCGGGGACATCCCCGGCGACATGATATCCCTTTATCGGTTCTGGTCTCATTTTTTGGCCTGGCATTTTGATTTGGAGATGTTTGAGGAGTTTCGGGCATATGCAGTGGCGGACGCCACGGGGGAGACCATCAATACAACTGGCCTCAAAAACTTGATTGCATACTATGAAGCGGTCTTACAAGAGGACAACGAACACCCTCTGGACAACCTGGAGTCTCTCTATGAAGAAGCGAAAAGGCTAGCCGCGACAGCCGAGATCCCTTGAGAGGTAGCATCTAGGTCGGTTACAATGACGAGGATGTTCTACGAATTGGGAATCTCTTGTTGGAATTTCTTCGACAACAAGTTGTGATGGACCTGCCTAGGTTGCGGTCGCTCGATTCTCCATCTTGGGCAATGTCACTGAGCGCATTTTCCGTGATCGTTGAATCTGCAACGTTTCCTTGGGGTCAGTCGGAACGAGACCGCAGCTATTGTCGTATTCGAAAGGTTGGAAAAGTTGTCTGCTTCTTTCTCGCAAAAGGGGATGGACCGCAGAGAGAGACATGCTACCAGGTGGCTAGCGACATACCCATGGGAGGTTTGATTCGGAATTAATTGGGACGGGGGGGATAATCAGAGGCAAAAAAGAATGAGGCACAGAGGAAGGCTTCGCCCCTCTTGCGTTTGAATGCGAAAGGCTTCGTCTTGAAGCAGCTTCGGACATGGGTTGATGAAGGTCTCTTCTCCGGCGTAACTCGGCATACAAGGTCCGAGAATGACTATTCATTGGTTTCTACTTTCATTTGGCGGGTTTCTCATTATGGATGGATCTTGAGTTTCCTCCCTACTTCTCTCCCCTCGCCTCATTGCTAGACGAAGAAAAAAGTTTCTTCCCTTCTTCCTTTTTTTTATTTTTTTACTGCACATAGTTCCTGCATGCTTTGTTCTGGGGAAAAAACACACAACAGGGAAATGGGGTGGGGAGGGTTATGGGCATGAAATGCATTCGAGCGGTCACAAGAAATTGGAGGCAATGGTTCATGGGTTCTACTAGACTTTCTCTTTCTTTTTTAACCTTCCTTCTTCGCTCTCATCAGCGCGCACACACGGGGATATTGGGGGAAAAGAAAGAGACGGCATCATCAGGCAAATCAGTCGAGCTGATGCTGTATTGTATGATTAGGACCTCTTTGAAAATGAATAAATATGGAGTATTTGGCGTTCATGCTGGGTTACATCCAAGTCGCATCGTTGCCAGTGAAGTCATCATGGTGGAAGGGATGCAGTCTTTCTCTCTCGGAACTATGGAATACCGGTCTGAAGCTCACCTGGAATCAGAGCTGCGATCACAGACATTTACTAGGATCACGAGTTAACTTTCCGTATGTTTGACTGAACGGGGTGAGTGGGTGGAGGGGCATCATGTTGCTCCTCGCCGCAGGCCACCTAGACTATATGAGCAGCTTCAGCCTCTCTTACCACCACATACGACCATACCCATTGGAAAACTCGGGATCCCGTCCGCTCTCCCATAGATAAGCCAATGAGGGCCGGATTAGTAGTTGGGTCGGTGACGACCAGCGAATACCTGGTGTTGTATGTTTTTTGATGGTTTTTGCGATTTTGGTTGTGGTGGTGAGAAGGAGGCGGATATCACGATGTTGCAGATGTGGTTGGGGACGGTGGCGTTTTCTCGGGGTGTCGTAGGTTCTATTCGCGCCGTAAAGGGAGGTGCGGGGTAGGTAGCTGGCCGCTTCCAAATTTCCAAGACACAAAATTGTTTTGCTCCCATGAATATTGCTGTTTACTTTGCTGAGGCGGCTTCTCTAAAGGGTCGAAGTTGCTGGTGCGTTACTCTCTTTACGGGACTCGCATAGCGAGAGCCAGCTATCGACGTCAACTTATCTCTGCTCATTAATCAAGCGGTGATCCGTACTAGTATGCCATAGCTCATATTCCAATAAGAGTGGTTCCAGTCGCGCGAGTTTATCAGTCCTCGGTCTTGGTTGTGAGTTAGGCTCTTGGTGAGAGAAAGTTTTCACGGGGAAGACAAAAGACGACCACTCCGGATTTCCCTCCCTGAGCGAGCATATCATAGATTTGGTGCTTCTAAAGTAAATGCTTCAAATATTCGGTATGAAATGGTTCATGTCGATTTTCTTTTGGTAAATACAAGTAACGAAAGTTTCCCAACATGTAAGGCGCGGCATTCGTCAACGTTGAAAATGACCTCCTCCTCCTTGGGAGACTTGGGGAAGAACGCTCAATGATTCGGTAGACTCGGAGTAGCCGATGAAAACCTCAATGGCCAGCCACCTTGAGTAGTGATAAACAGGAGTATTCCTGTTCATCAGCCACGAGCTGTGTGTGTAGTGTGTCTGAAAAGTCTCTACACTGAGCTGGGTACCGGGAACGTAACCTCGTTATGCGCCACTGCTGCTGCGATGAGTGCCCAGTCATGCAGTCACGCGCCGGGCTCTATTCTTTACTTTACGCGAGCAGGGGGCCAGCAAACGAAGCTCCATCAAGACAGCATTTGGTACTACAAAATATCCACAGGGCAAGAGGCCATGAAGTGGAGTGGATTTCGCCCAGCTTTGTCCCCAACTCTTTCGCCCTGTCCGCAGAAGCAGAAAGAAAGATGGCGAAGCTGGCACCCTCAGATCAGAGGACTAACACGGCTTCCCATTTGGGATTGGACCGAGGGGTTGAAGTGGTCATTCGAGTTTTGAGTGACTAGAAGGTATTGTGGTAATCTACGGTGAAGTGGGCAAGATACACTTGCGAGAGCAAGGTGCTGGAGACATCTGACGGGAGGTCTCTAAGAGTCAGAAGCCTCACTCAGCTAGGGAGAAGAGAAAGAGAATCAGGCGGACAGCTGAGTCTCTCTGATCTCCGCCGGGCTCAGCGCTGACATGTCCTCCGTGGCATTCCTCCCTTCAGTATAGATCCATTCGCTCGCTGATACAAATTTTGAAGCCGTAGGGCCGGCGAAGTACTCAGCCGCACAGAAATAACAGGGCCGGAAGGGATCCGACAAGCGGCCGTGTGACAACGGCGAGCTCACTATCAATATGTACATGTATGGAGTCATACCCTGGGTAACGTTATCCATGACAGAGACCGGGCTTGCGCTTGTTCCATCTTGCTCGGCCATACTCAGAACGCAGTAGTTTCATCGACAGCCATGTACAATACGATGGAAAAGTCATGCCATATTACTCATTATTACATAATCATCCTCATCTCTCTCCCACTACCTGCTGTTACAGCAGAATTAGGGACCAAGATGAGAAGGTGATTGAACCAAAAAAGTCATTATCTACAAGTCTTCATGCCGTTTGCCTCATTATTCCGACCGTTTATTGCGTTTCACTCAACATACGTTAACTCATCACCTCATCCCACTTAGAAGGCCATGACGAGACCGACAACACCAGCGGCAACAGCGGCGAGGCCGTGAACCATGGCGGTCGAGGCAGCGTTGGGGGCCTCAGTGGAGGAGGGTGCAGCAGAACCGGTCGCAGAGCCGGAGGCGTCAGTGGCGGAAGCGCCGCTGGACTCGGAGGCTCCACTCTCAGTTGCGGAGGCGGACTCGGAGGCACCGGTGGTACTGGGGAAGAGTGTCAGTATACGTGTACTCCAGATGAAAGTGTGTAGGTGGATAGAGGGTGGTAACTTACGCAGCAGTTCCAGTAGCGGACTCGGATGCGGTGTTCACGACAGTGGAGGTGAAGGCACTGCCGGCGGAGTCGGTTCCGGTCACGACGCTGGCGGAGAGCGTGGGTACGACGTCGGTGGTGATTGTGGTCGGGATGGGGGTGACAGTAGCAGAGATCTCGGTGGTGATGGTGCTGCCGTCCGAGTTGGTGGTGGTCACGGCGATGACGGTAGGCACGGGGGTGCCGGCCGGGGCGGCAGTAGGGCGAAGGCTCTCAATGGCGGACTCGAGGGCGCCGTACTGGCTGGTGTACTGAGTCGGGATGGCCGCGGCGAACCAGTCCGGGGTGCTGGTGGCCTTGAGGACGGAGTAGATGTAAGACTTGAGGTCGCCGGTGACACTGGCGGCGCTGGCGGCGGAGCCGAAGGCCGAGGTCAGTGAGTCCCACTGGTCGGTGGGGATGTAGGCTGAGATGAGAGCATCGGCGGCGGCGGTGAAGGCCGGGGCGTCGGAGCTAGGAGGGCTGTGTTAGTATGTGTCTGGGCTAGCTCTGAGGTTCCCCCTTGGACTATCTCTTAGATCCCGAGCGGGAGGGGCTTTGTGTCTTACACTTGACGCGCGTCGATGGGGTTGGCAACGGCGAACTTGGCGGCAATGGCCAGAGGAATGACGGCAGACTTCATATTGATGGTTTGTTGAGTGGGGGTCTCTTTGCTCAAGTCTGAAGGGGTTGGGTATCACAGGTCTGTTGAGGACGAGGCGGCAGAGGATCTTGCGAGGGGGAGGGTATCACTAGGCTGGCTGAAGCAAACAAAGGCGGATGGAAGGGAAAGAGAGTGAACTACGGGACACAGCTTCGGAGGGTGGAGGAATCACTTAAATAACAAGAACAAAAAGTCGTTGTGATGCAGTCAAGAGACAAATGACGCCGTACGCGGTGAATCTGGCCCGGGTACGACAACGGGACCAGGCCAGAACGAATTGGGAACCCATGGCGACAGCGATGGTGGAAGCGAAAGCTGGGAATTGCGCGTTTGTTGCCCATTGTGAGGGGCGAGAAACAGGCGGGCCAGAAATCTTGGTGTTGGTCTCTTTTTTTTTTTCACAGACCCTGGTCTGTATTCCTTGGAAAGCGGAGGTTGGGTAGAGATGCTCGATGCTTCGAGGCCCTTGCAGCCGCAGTAGTAGCAGGCCAGAAGCAGCTCTGAAGCTGGGCAACCGGCAAAGCGGGCAAGGCGCGAACAGGGAACAAACAGACGAAAGCTGTAAAGGGAGGACGACCTGACGACAAGCAGGAAAAGCAGGGCAGAAGTCAGGACAGAGGGCCATTCAGGCGTGACAGGCTGAAGTGAAGGCGAGGCCCCAGACGGGATTGAGCTGGCGTGACGTTGACGGTTGACCCGGTTGCTTGCGTGTGTCATTGTGCGGTCGAATCAGGTCGTGGAGGATTTGCCTTGCACGACCTGAATGATTGCATTGCAATGGGTACGGATACTCCGTACTTCGTACACGGGTGATGGCATAGCGGTGTTGGCTCACTCGAGCAAGCAGGGGATCTGATTGGCAACAGGTTGCGTGTTTGCTGGCCTTGATCATGGAATGGGGTTGTTGAGAACTTGGGAGGCTGGGGAAACGTCGAGCAACCTGAGGATAGAATTACGAGGCCGAGCCGGGTAAGTATCCTGTCAATTATTTTGGCCAAATCCGTGCGACATTCGCGTTTGCTATGCTTGACCTGTTGATCTCTTCGGAGTCAATTCACCAGCTTCATAATTGAAGGTATAGATAGGTATGACCTTCGGATGACTCTGCAGTCTGAATACCTAGGTAAACTGGCATTTGTGCGAACTCTGAGGATGCGATTCTCCCCCGCGCCAAAACATTCAAGAATCAGGTTACGGTGAAGAGATGCAAAGCGAGGTAGTGGAGGTGGAGGGATGTGGTTGGCGGGTAGCAGCCGTGGCTCCACCCTCTTGTACTGGGCAGCATCATTGGCCGACGCCGTTTCCTCTGGACGAATCACACAATGCAGTTGTTTGGGCTTGCGACGGAGGCAGGAACAAGGAATCCCCACTCACGGCCGGTAGTCCCGTTTTCCGCCGTTGATCGAGGATGAGGTAATTTTCGGACCAGACGAAGCACGTGACGGGAAGCAGAGTCTAGACTCAAGGGCCGGGCCACCACCGCCACGCATCCACTGTTCACGTGTGGCACCTTCCGATGCAGAGTGTGGCTGCGCCACGTAACCAGCCTCAGCACTCCGTCAAGAAGCAGGAAGAGTGCAAAACTACGTCACGGGCTCGAAGACCACCCTTGCCCTTCGGTGCAGGTTTCCAGGTTCCCCTCTTCGAGAGTGTCACCGCGGGGCATTCCATTCGCTCCACAGTCCACATAAGATTCTCAGCCCAATCACCTCACCCACTCCGAATGTTCTACTCGATCACTTCACTTCCGTCTGCTTGTCATCCGCGACCACCTTAGCGTACCTATGTTCCCATCACTTCTATCTGAATGTAACCAGTAATATGATGTATCCTTACAGATACCGAATGGGGTTGATTGCATTTTCGGTAACCACTTGCTGTTTCGAAACAAATGATATCATGCCGCAATTACGGCGAACTCCCAAAATACTCCCAACCTAGCTTCGACGTGATCGACCTGTTACCGAGAAGAACAAACATCGTGGATCTCGAGGCATTAAGAGAAAGGAAAGAAGAAACAAATATACAAGGACCCTCAATTTTAGTTGTGACAGACTTACGAATAGTTGGGCATCACCTGGCTCAGTGGGAAAACAGAAATGTGTTTTTGCGGACTGACCGAGCACTCGGTGGCAGAGCCCCCCCTCATACCATTTCATTACCAGGTCCTGGGCCCCCTCCTATCGGCGCTCGGCCAAGTGGAGGGCTACTATGGGAGGTAAGGCACGAGCGATTCCTGATGTCTCATTGGTCAAAATGCCTGTCGGTATGAGGTCATACTCCCTCCCACTGCTTCGTTGTCAACTCGTCCCTCCTTCCCTCTCCGCCTTCCAGCTCAAAGCCTCCATTGAACCAGTACAACTCCCCCGGGCCCAAGGTCACAGGCACAGGTTGCAGGTGTTACATGCAAGCAGGCAATGCCAACTGCATCGGAGGCCGCGCACATGCCTGCCATGCTCGTTCTTCTCGCGAATACCGTCTTTGCCATCCATGGATCTCTCGGAGTAAGAAACTGCACTGCTTGAAACCCGAACATCCGCTACAAGTGCAACATCTTCAAAGAGCACTCTCAAAGTCCCCCAAAGCCACCACCACAAGCATCCGTCACTTGCCTTGGCCTTTGGTCTTTGGTGCGCAGCGGCATCGGGTTTGTCGCAGGGAGCACCCGTCCTCTGATGCCACTTACGACAGCGCTAGCACAAGTCTCTAGGCGCACTAGATAGGCAGCCTGGCCACTCGTCTTACTTTTTCTCGCTACCCAGCCAATGTGAGAATGACCAAATGGAAAATTGGACGACCCAAAGAAGGGCACACTATTTTCGGTCAGACGTTGAGAGGGAGGGGGGGCTTTACATTATGTCCAAATGACTCTTTTGCCAGCGGCTTGTGTTGTGTAAATGGGCCATCTTTCGGATGAGAAAAAAAGAAAAGGGTCCCATTATGTTCAAGAGCATGTTTCAAAAGTACTTGTTCACGGTGAATCTGTAGGCGAGGTACTTTCGTATGTCCGTCACGAACATACCTTACTTTAGCATTCCCTTCCCTGGTACCCGCACCCTCCGTTTCTGCTGCCGCTGCCGCTCCATTGCTGCATCTTTGGAAGCAACGCTGAGTCGTCGACATGTCGCATCCATGTCTTCGGACAGCCCAACCCTGTTCTGCCCTGCCCAGTTCAGGCCTGAGGTGGCTGTATCTGGCTGGCTTCTCTGCCTGAAGTGACCTCCCCGTCCCTGCCGTCTTTCCTTCCACGCCTGATTGCCTTTGCCCTCCCGTCTTCTGGACCCTTGCCCATCCACTTTCTTCTAGCTAGCCCTGCCCCCCCCCCCCCCCCCCCCTGTCATCGCTCATCATCTCTTCCCCTCCTTCATTTTCTTTCCGGGGCTTGTTGTTCTTCGTCTTTTTACCTTTCACAACTCATAAACATTTCAGCGTCTTCATCGAGAGATTCCAACCACATTCAAGTCTCGCCAGTTGAACTATCATCTTTGGCGGCACACTCGAGCCAAAACCCTGGCACTGTGTCACTTCACTCATACGACTTACACCACCCCCGCTTCAAATCGAAAATACCCACCGAGCCTGCTTGGCTCTTACGCCCACTCTCGTCAGCCGACATGAGTTACTACGAAGAGCCTCAGCGCACTCGTCGCTACGTGCGCGAGGAGCGTCGTGAGGAGAGAATCGATCCTCGTTATGCAGACGAAGGTTATCTGAAGGTTCACCAAACTCGCGAAATCATTCCTCGGGCCAGAGAGAACAGCGAACTCTCTATTGAAGAAGTCCGCCGCGACTTCCCCCCTCCTGGTTACAGAGATTCCCGTAGAACTCGCTCAGCAGAACCTGGCTATTACGACGACCCACGGTATGACGACCGGGACCGATACTACGATCGCGAATATGATCGTCGCAGCAGGAAAGCTGGCAGCCTTGTCTACGCCGAAGAAGAGAGGTCCCGTAAACGTGTCATCAACCAACAAGAGAAGATTCTCGCCGCTGTGGCCGGTGCGGCTCTGGCATTTGGCGGCAAGGAGCTTTACGACAGAAAGGAAGCCAAAGAACATCGCGGCGAAGTCGAAAGAAACTACCTGACTTCTGCGGCGCTGGGAGCAGCGGGAGCCCTCGCTGGTTATCAGGGCGCAGAGTACTACGGCAAGCGCAAGGAGAAGGAGGAGGACAAGTCCACCTATGTCATGCATCGCGGCCGTGACGGTCGAGTCACCGAGTACTACTCCGACGAGGAGGGAGACAGGGAGAAGAAGGGCCACAAGTCTTTCTTGGAGAACGCTCTCGCAGCCTCTGGTCTGGGAGTTGCAGTCAAGGCTCTTACAGGCGCTAGTGGTGGGGATGACCGGCGTAGCGACACCAGAAGCCGCCGAGGCAGCCCCGACTCGAGATCCTCTCGGTCCAAGTCTCGAGGACCCGGAAATGAAGCCGCTAGCAAGATGCAGAAGGCTGCTATGGCTTCATTGATTGCTGGAGCCACCGAGGCTTTTCGTGTTGCCAAAGAACCTGGTGGTTGGAAAGGCGAGAAGACAAAGCGCATCATTACTGCCGCTGCCGGTGCGGCCACCATCGATGCCGCACAAGGTGGCGAGAAGCAGAGCAAGCTGGGCTTGGCCGAGTCTGTCATCGGTGGTCTGGTCGGTAACCGAGTCATCAACGGATCCAAGCGCAACATCGAGGAGGACCGCCGTACCGGACGAAGCCGATCGAGGTCGCGCGCTCGCTCTGACGGCGGAGGCGGCGGACCGGGCTTGGCTGCTCTGGCAACTGCCGGTCTTGGTGCCTTTGGCGCAAAGAAGGCAATCGAGAACTTCCGGTCCCGAAGCCGTGGACGCAGTGCCGACTCTTACGACAGTCGGGCTTCTAGCCGCGATGGTCGCGATAAACCCCGCGCACGAAGCAGAAGCCGCAGTGTTGTCGACTCTGCACGAAAGAGACTAGCCAAGATTGGCATTGGCAGCAACCCGGAAGAGAAGGAAAGAGAGAAGTACGGCCGAGATGACTACTACGACGACGACCGTAGCTCTCGACGTGGCGGCGTCACCCGGAGATACTCTGATGAATATGACGATGGCTACGACCGGGGTTCTACACGTGGTGGACGTGACGCATACGACGATGACAGATCGTCATACACGAGCCGGCGCCGAGACCGCTCTCGCCGAAGGGGAGGAAAATCGGACGCCAGTTCCGAGTCGGATCTCGGAGATTCGGACGATGATGCAAAGCGCGCAAGGAAAATGAGAGGTAAGCAAGTCATCACAACCGGCCTAGCGGCCGTTGCCACCATTCACGCGGCACATGGGGTCTATCAAAGTATGGAGAAACGCAATTCAAGGCAGAAGGCTGTGAGAGAAGGGCGGCTCAGCCCAGAGGAGGCGAAGAAGCTCAAAACGAAGGCTCTCGTGCAAGACGCCGCCTCTGTTGGAATTGCTGCTCTCGGTATCAAGGGTGCCTGGTCTGAGCTCAAGGAAGCCAAAGAGATGACACACGAATGCAAGGAATTCCAACATGAGAAGGAAATCCGACATCAAAAGCGACTTGAGCGCCAGAAGAGGCTCACCGATGGCTCTGGTGGTGGTCGAAGAAGTAGGGCTGATGACTGGAATCATTCTGGCTCTCCGCGAGGAGAGCGGTATGATTACGGCTCAACTTACTACGACGATAATCCATACTCTGCCGGGCGTCTGCCTGCACCTCCTGTCGGTTATGACGACAGGAGATACAGAGACTGAGAGGTTGGGACGAGAGCACTTCAGTTCTGTTAAGCGATGCGTAAGATGGTCTTTGTTAGCTCTCTCGGGAGTTTCTGAGACCACGTCCTCGCTCACACAGGCTGTCTGTCTCGTTCTGTCCTCAATCCCTCGGTTTCTTTTACGACCTATAATGCCTGTATAAGACACACGACTTTACGACAACTTTCTGCAAATCATCTTTCAGCCACATTTATATCTGTTTTCAAACAAATCCGGGAAAGATTCGGAAGACTAAGGGGATGTGGGAGTGGCGTTCCACACGTTCCACAACGGCCCTCGACGGGCGCCACCTTGCATTGCGTTTACTCAGATAGATGGATTCCCTTTGCCCCTTTTGCTGTCAATCTACACGCATTCTTCTCTTATACACGAACCCTAACTGATTCTAATTGGATTGTGACAGACCAACGCCGCCGTTACTAATCGGCCTGCGCCGCCATCAAAAAAAACCAGATGCATCGTCACTGGTCGAGCCGTTGTCGTCGGCCCCTGCGGATGACAGTAGTACCAAATGGAGGGAATCGCAGCATGCAGCTCAGACAAAATGAGCAAACGATGGAGCCGAGATCGAGGCTGATCGCCAGGGCCTGATTGGAACCAACTGTTTTTGTTCGATTCAAGCAATGAAGGGAGAGAGGGAGGAGAGGTCTGGCCACCACATGGCCCCGGGGCTCGTAGTGTTGAAGCAGCCAAGCGGACCCCGATGAGAAGGGACCCCTGTTCCTGAGACAGACCGGACATTTTTCGCTAGCGCGGGAACGGACAAGCGGCGGTGAGAGAAGGCGGCTACCATTTGGAAAGATTGGGGAATAGACGGGAAGGGAGGGGTGGCATATGCGGGATGATGATATTTGACGGAAAAGACGGCTCTATGGGTTTTTAGTACGCGGGAGACGGGCCAGAGCACAACGTCAACACCATCGAGATACTGCGATGCATTTGCTGGTCCCTCCCCTTCCCCCAACAACCGCTATCACGCAATGTCTTCTAGTCTCTTGCTTTTGCAATTTCCTACTTAGATGGGAGGATGGGCACTTTGTTTTTACGATACTCGACTGGTTATGTAGTTTCCGATTCTATGAGTATGAGATATGATGATTGCGCTCTCTTCTCCCCCATTTCCTTATCTTGACTTTGGCTGGGTGCCCTTTTGTGACTGAACACTGTCGCTTTGTAATACCTATTGTGTGTCACGCATAACGGAAGATACCCCGGCAAAAGCGGTCGGGTCCGAAACAGCCCACGCTTCTGCCACTCTTGCCATGTCTCCGGCAGTGCCCAGAGCCAAGAGCTACAGCGATCCCGCGAGTAATCGCCTTGCTCTAATGTGTGAGGGGTTGTGTGACAAGCGCATACCTTGCCTTACCGAGCACGTAGTTTGGGCCTAGCTTCCTCTTTGGTTTCTCTCTGGCACATTGAAAAAGCGAGAGGGAAGTGGGAGGGAAGATGTTCCAGACTGTTCCCCCCCCCTTCATCCCTCATCCTATCATGTCTGCTGATATTCTGGGAGCCAGCTCTGCCAACTTTTCTGGTTTTCTTTTGAACGTTCCGATGTGCCTTTCTGCTTCGGTCTCGGTCAAGTCGGGAGATGCATCATGCGGGCAGAGATGGGAGGTGGTGGGCTGTTGTAGGGGGGGGGGTAACACATGGCCAGACGTTGGCACCGTCCGTCGGCTGATATTCTGCTGTTCAGCCTGTTCTACTTGGAAGAGGAGACTTTGGAAAAGGGGATGGTGAAATTCGATCCGATCAAGTCAGTGCCCGTCAATCAATCAATGTCAAACTGCCGTGGGCATAGGAGACGGCCTGCCTACACTGCACTTTACTACAACTCCATTAGCACGGGTAGCGTGCGTGCTACCTGCTATGCGTCATTGACGGCGTCGAAGTTGTCGTGGAAAAGGGTGGTGGCGGGTGACAGGCGGCTGAGCAATCAAGAGGATATGACATCATTGTACATCCCGCCGCATTTATTTTTTCCTGGATTTCCCTTTCCCTTGTGCCCCTCCTTCCACCTTGACCTAGCCCCCTCCCTTCGCGTCTGCAGTCGCTATTGGCGAGGCATCGTCAGTCAGATGACTGGTCTGACATGTTCTATCCGGAGCCATCCCGATGATGGGCAAGCCCCCCGAATTCACGCGGTCTTTGATTGTGCACTAATTACCATGTCTAGGTGCTTGTTGGTTGGGTTGGGTTGAGTACGAAACTTGTACCTTACACGTCTGGGCAAGGAGTAGGACCTGAAGTCTGAAGAAGGAGGGGAAAAGAGAAAGAGTCTCGACTCTCGCGTGGAATAAGGTTCGCCGGCTCTCCCATCCGGCGGTAGCTTCAGATGACTGGGTACCCGGGATGCCCCATGGCGAGACAAGAGTAATCTGGATAAGATGAGACACGATTTGGTCCGAACTCTGTTTTTTCTGCTGGGTAGGGGCAGCTCAAATTTAATTGAAGTTTCTTGACAATGATAGTTGCTGAAAGCATAGAATTACAACAATAACGACACCGTCTTTTCTGACGGAAGAGGGGATAAATATCTCAAATTTTTCAACTCTATGCCGCAGCATCTCCTCCCTGCTGCTTCCAGGCCTGCGCCATGGCCAACAGATTCGACAGGTTCTGCGTCTGCTTGTCGTCGGCGGGGAAGACGTAGTCGATATACTCCTCGAAGCTGTCGTCCTCCAAGCGCCTTCTGCGCTTCGTCTTGCGCGGCATCAGCTTCTGCACATTCTCAATCTCGTCGTCCCCGCCGTGTATCCTCTCGAATGACAACCACGCGTTGAGCAGCGTAACCGTCTCTTCCTTGAGCTCCTTGTCGCGCATACTCTTGTGCGCGCGCTCAAACACCTTGCGCGCCCTCGTCTTGGCCTCCTTGCTGATCGGTGCTTCCTCTTCTGCTTCCTCCTCCTCCTCCTCCTCGGGTATGTTGAGCTCAAAGTGGGCGTAGCTGATCCAGACCTTGACGTGATCCGTCTTCTCGAGGAGGCGCTCGTAGAGCTCTCTCGTCCGCTCGTACTCTTCCTCCTCTTCCTCAAAGTCGATGTATGCCTTCCAGAGCAACTCGGGCATATCGAGAACCGGCTGGCTCACAGCTAGCTCGAAGATGGCTCGGGTCCGCTCCAAGTCATCGAGACCACGCTCGAGCTCGGCGAACTTGATCCACGTCTGGCAGTTGGAGGCGTTCCACTCAATGTGCTTTTCGTAGAGTGTTCGGCAGCGCAAAAACTCAAAGAGCTTCAGTTCCAGCTCAATGTAACCCCTGAATAGCTTGTCCTTCGGGCACATGCCAATAGCCTGGCCCAGGGTCTTGCGAGCCGCCGTCAGCTCACCCTGCCGAATCTCGAATTGCGCCTTGAGCAGCCAGACCTTGGCAAAGGTGAATTTCTTATGGGGTATCAGCTCCAGGCAAACCTTGTAGATCTGCCTTGCTCGCTCCGTGTCCTTTGCCTGCAGCTCCTCGAAGATGGCGTAGTTGATCCAGAGGTAAATGTACCGTCTCCAGAACCTCTTCTCTTGCGCCGGTGGTACTTGCGATACTGCCCTTTCGTAGATGTCGCGGACTCTGTCGAGATCGCCCGCGGTTTCCTCCAGCCGTGTGTAGTCGAACCATGTATCGTAGTTCTTCGGGTTCTCCTTGACTTGCGCTTCGTAGTAAACACGGCGTTTCGAAAGTACGACATCTTCGACGCCATCTTTGTCTCCAAATTGCTTCTCGAACGTCGTGTAAGCCTTGTGAAGGATCATCGATCTAGAGCGAGGAAGGCGATCCAGCGCATACTTGAAAATTGCCCTCGCTCTTTCGTACTCCTTCAACTTCGCCTCGTACCTCGCATAAGCAATAAAGAGCTTCTCATCCACGAATTCGTCACCCAGCTCTTCAATCGCAGTACCAAAAACATCGCGCACCATGTCGCTAGTGCCAAATTCCTCCTCAAACTTGGCCCACTTGATCCAGTTTCGAGGTTCCGGGTGGACGAGGGTGAAAGCTCTGAAGATATCTCTGGCTCGGTCGAACTCATTGTATCTCTTTTCCAGCTTAATGTATGCGCTCCACGCAGCTTCATCAGGCTGCCATTGCATCCAACGGTCAAATACTTGGCGGGTTCCGGGAACGTTACCCAGCATCTCCTCCATGTACACATATTTGTACCAAAGTTTATCGACACGAGGTAGTCGTGTGACGGCCCTGTCGAGAAGATTTCGCGCATGGTTGATGTTTCGGCATTTCACTGCAACAAAGTTAGCTGTCTGTCTCGTCAAATGGTGTTGGGGATGGATTCCATACTCTCTGACTCGATGTATCTGATCCACAACTTGATCTCGTTGGGGTGCACATCGAGCGCGCGCTCGAAGATTGATCTTGCGCGCGCGAATTCCTTCTGCTCAAGCTCCCAGTCTGCATATCGCATCCAGTTGTTGAGGTTGACTCTGTTGCGTCGCACATAGTCCTCGAATTCTCGTCGTTTTCGGCCCTGGAATTCGTGAAGCTCCTCTAGATCGGCAAACCGCTGGGTAGGTGCTTGAAGGGCGACTTCTTGCCGGTCGACAGCCTCTCGGAGAAGTTGCTCGGCAGAGATCTGAACAGGCGCAGCGGCCTTGTTCTTGACCTTCGGGGGCCCTCGTGATGCCTCCATGATGTCGAGGGGCGGAACGGAGTCAAAGTCGATTGAAGTCAGGAAAACGTGCTAAGTCGCGTGTGATTAGCGTCGCTAGATGTGATGGTATCGAGAATAAATTTTATGGGCATCAAGACGTTGAGTCGCGTCAACTCGTTGTCCAATTGATGATGTCCTGCCTTGATCGCAAACGACGATTCCCAGGCCCAAGGCTGAAGCGTGGTTGGAAAAACGCAGCTCTTATCAGCACCAGCCACTCCGATAACGAGCTTCTGTGGCTTGGACCCACCCGTCGCGGCAAAACTTCCGTAGCCTCGCGAGGCTTCCATAACTTTATACCCTTCTAACCTGCCAAACTTCGTCACGCCGTCTTCCTATCCCAGGCGATTTTACCATTGAAAAGCCACCTCGAGCGACTGGCAAAATGGCGACTCTCGCAGATGAGCTTCTCAACGACTTCGAGGACTCTGGCTCGGAAGCAGAGGAGACTCAGCAAGACAATGATCCCCTAGGACTTGATCATGCGCCCGAAGCGAGCAGCCGCAAAGCATCGGGCGGCATGGATCTGGACGATGACCAGAGCGAACCCGAGGATCAAGATGAAGAGATGGGTGGAACGCCAAAGGGCGCTGTTGATCCCGTCGAAGATGCAGAGGATACAAAGGCAAAGGTCGAAAAGATGCAGCTGGGTGGCGTCAACGATGTTCGCAGCGTCGCCAGTCTTATGTCAACTTTGGAGCCGGTACTAGAGGTATGTGACACACCCGAAAACACGACTGGCTTGATGGAAGCTGTGTTTACATCGTCTCTTGGGAGAACTAGCCCTAACATCGTCACCCGAACGCTACAGAAAATCGCACACTACCAGTCGCAACCGACCCCTACAGAACTGCTCGGCAACATCGAAGACCACCCCGAATACCACCTTCTGACACAATCGAACAGTCTTTCGACTCTCATCGACAGCGAAATCGTTTTGGTGCATAAATATATCCGAGACCACTACTCAACACGATTCCCAGAACTCGAGACGCTCATTACCAACCCGCTGGAGTATGCGAAGGTCGTGGCGATTTTGGGCAATGGACCGCTTGATTCAGAGACCATCAAGAAGCTCCAGCACTCCACGGATAATGTCCTTCAAGCTTCGCTGAAATCTGTCCTCGATGGGCCGTCCCTCATGATCGTAACAGTGGAGGCTACGACAACGAAGGGCAGAGACATGTCGCATGAAGAACTGGAACGTGTATACAGGGCCTGTGAGATGGTCATCTCCCTGGACAAGGCGAAGAAGACCTTGACGGGGTATGTCCAGTCGCGCATGAACCTCTTCGCGCCGAATTTGACTGCTATGATCGGTTCACTTACGGCTGCCCAACTGCTGAACGCCGCCGGTGGCCTTACTGGTCTTTCAAAGACACCCTCGTGTAATATTGCAGCGTGGGGTTCGAAGAAAGGGGCTGGCGCCGCAGGCTTGGCTACGAATATCGGCGTCAGGCAGCAGGGTTTCCTCTACCACTCACCCATCATTCAAGGTATTCCCAATGATCTCAAAAGACAGGCCATGCGCATCGTATCGGCCAAGCTCCTGCTCGCGGCCCGCGTGGACAGGATTCACTCCAGCGCCGACGGCTCGACGGGCGAGGATCTCAAGGAGCAGTGCCTCACAAGACTCGAGAAGCTCACGGAACCGCCTCCGAACAAGGGCCCCAGAGCTCTACCGGTACCAGACGATAAGCCTTCCCGCAAGCGTGGTGGCAGAAGGGCAAGGAAAGCCAAGGAAGCTACGGCCATGACGGAAATGCGCAAGGCACAGAACAGGATGGCTTTTGGAAAGGAAGAGCGCGAAGTTGGCTACGGCACAGGGGAGACCACGGTCGGTATGGGTATGATCGGGCAGGGCAATGACGGCAGAATTCGCAACCTCCAAGTCGATCAACGCACGAGGGCCAAGCTCGGCCAGAAGAACAAGGGCTGGGGCGGCGCAACGCCCATGGGCGGAGCGGCATCTTCGCTCAAGGGTTTTGGACAATCAGCAAACTCCAACATTGACCTACGCGGCAAGGGCCTGAGGACGTCAGGTGTTGGCACGTCACTGGGCGCGGGAGCGGGCACGGCATCCTCGTTGGCCTTTACGCCTGTACAGGGTCTGGAGCTCGTCGACCCCAAGGTCCAGGCTGAACTCAGTCGCAAGCGAAAGGCTGAGGAGGACCGGTGGTTCAAGGGTGGCACATTCACTCAAGCTGCCGGCTCGTCCAATGATGGCTTCAAAAAGCCCGACTTGCCTCCCAGTAAGAGGGTCGATACCGGCGCCGGCAAGATGGGACCTCCACCTCCAAGGAGCGGCTGAGTGAGCCCAGCCTGTCCGGCCTACGTGATTGTAGCAAGGGAATGAGGAGGTTCACGGTATCAAGTAGGGATTTAAGAGTTTGGGAGAGCAAAGTTACGAAGCATATCTCTTGCCCCCAAAAGCTCACCTCGGCAGACGAAAAGGAAAAGGAGGGGGAGGGGTGGTTGTTTCCAGGTTGTTAAACGGGTTCCGCGGCTGAGCAAAGACGAAGTGATCACTCGGCCGGTGGGAAACGGCGTGCGGCGTTTTAGGGATGGTCATCCGTTTTTCGAGTCATCGAATCAGTTGTAGGTAGCATACCATTAAGGCATATAAGGGCGGGATCATGGGAAACGAGACGAAATTTTACCATTACTCAACTTTGGGATGCTGTGCTTTACAAAGGGGAGAGGAGGGGTCAATGATGGTCCAGGTGTATGTTTGTCCGTTGTCCGTTCCTAACGAGCCTACGAATGCCGGCGCATTGCCGTTTCTACGTTTGTCGGCAGTTTTTCATCTCGGCTCCTCTGTGTGTGTGTGTGTGTGTGTGTGCGTTATGAGGAAAAGAAAACTTGAGACGGACTAGAACAAGATGTAGATTGGATATTCGCATGTCATGTATGTAATAGCCCAACGGCCGTGTCGATCAAACGTCTTCTTTTGGTGTCAGTTGTCTCACTCTCTCAGTAATTAAGCCGATGGCCATGCGGTTTTGAATTCAATCTCCCCGTCGTCTCCCCGTGTGCTATATCCCCTTTACCAAAACGCCAACGTTTTGTTCCATTTTCTGTAGTTCTTCTTCTCCTTTTACCTTCCCGTCGCGAAAGAAAAAAAAAAGGATGATTTTGCAAAAACGTCTTTGCGGTTCATGCCAAAATAAAATTCTTAGCTCCTTTGAAACACGTTTGCTTGGGGGGGCCTTACCCGCCCAATCTTCACGACCCTTCGGTTCGAGGGCGAACCAGTCGATCATCGTCCGTGCCTTGAAGGGTAACGTGCTTGGGCAGCGTGGCAGCGTTTGTTGGGCAAGCAACGTAACGCAACGACTTTGGGTTAAAAGAAAAAAAAAGAAAAAAAACCGCTCGTCCCTTCTTTCGAGAAACACGCAGAAGTACGGATATTGGAGGAATAGAAACAAGTAGGTACCAAAAAAACCCAATAAAAAAGAACACGAGGGAAAAAACCGTCGGCAGGTCGAGAGTCTAATTAGACAGGAAGAGGGCCGTGATGGCCTTCTTTTGCCCTTTTGGCTATGCCTCTTGGGGCCTGGGCTCACCCAAGGGAAGAACGTTTCCTCTGTGCACACACATCGTCGTTTTCCCACCACTCGTCAATGTCGGGCTCACCCCCGTCACCGACCTATCAAGAACATGCCGCAGTCTTGCCGCGCGACAGAGAAGAAGATTTTCTATGCTCAAGGTTCAGCTATTGTTAGGTTAGGTTCTGCATTGAGAGCTCGCCCACCATCATTCTTGGCTCCAGCTCCCCGAGTCCCCCCTTTCCCCTCACGCCCCCACCGTTTTTCGCAAAAGCTTCAATTGGAGTAGGGCCGCGAGAGGCTCGAACGGGGGCCACGAGACGACGATTTCCCATGGGACTTGAGAACAGACTGTATGCATCGATAAGGGAACAAGGAAGATTCTTTGGGGCTACCATACACAAGATGAAGCCCGCCCATCATCTGTGCCATGGCCAATACTGACGAGGCAGGGCCACCAGCTCACGTGACCGCGCCGTGCAAAATAGTCGAACGCCCGAACCCGTCGTCGTTGCGAGGCTTTCTAGACTTCGAGTGGACTAGGATTTTCCGGGGTATCCCACTATGAAACGCCGGGGTTCGAGCCTCGAGCCTGCGCTTTTCTCTCTCTGCCCTCTCTTCCCCAACTGTGGCGTGAGTTTGTTGCATGTGTATAGTTTTTCTGTTGTTTTTGCTTTCTCTTCCCAAAGGTTCTATACTGGACCCCGAGGATCCCGGAGTCCATTCCGACGGGCGAACGGTGATCACGCCAGGCACAGATCGACGGTTGGCGATAGAGTTCGAGGCAACGTTGACACCAGCATTGCTTGACGGAAGCTCTGTGGGTTTGTACTCCTACATTCCGGTATATTGTGCATTTCCTCGGCATGCCAATTATTGTCCTGTTTTCGGGTAGTCGACCCTATTCTTCTACCAAGTCCGTAGGTCGTTGTCACTGTTCCGAGCTTATTGGCGCAATGGGTGCAGATCCCAATGGGGGGGTACTGCAAACTTGCAATGGGCTTAGCAATGCGCCTTTCGTGCCTGGAATAATGGGCACATGTTTCGGTTCGCTGTGGCCCCGTTGGCCCAGCAGTGCTCACCGTAGCACCTTACTGTATCCGTACACCATAGACACCGTAGGGGCTGTCGGGAATATCGTCCGCGGCCGAAAGACAAGCGGGGCCGGTAACGCATGCCCGCTGCCACAATGACGTACCGCTTACCATGACACGAGGGTTGCCACAGACGGAGTTAGGTCCCTTGAGAATCTATAGGTTGTTACCTATAGTATGAGTGGGGAGTCAGACTGGAAGCTGCAGGCTGTCCGTAGTGTGCTCCGTACTGCGAACAACAAGTTGCAGCTACCACAACCGATGGGCGCGCCGCCTCACATGGACAGAGTTGTCCCCGCCCCGGTGAGCTTTGCGAGGTCCCTGGACTTTTCTGTAT